TATTTTTGGATTCTGTGCAGTGTAAGGTCTATATTGTTAGATTTTTTTGTTTTAAAGCTCTGATTGGCTACTGCAAAGGCAATTTTAGATGATATATGCATTAATAAATGTAATAAAAATTAATTCCTTATCAATTATTTTCCCCATCTTTTAAGTTTTTGGGTATTCAGTTTCAGCAACCAAAGAGTAATATTTATTACTTTTTGTGTTTGATTAATATTCAATCAGTTACAGTTTACTTATTTAAAAGCTTTTGAATTTATTGTTTCTGTATTTCTTCAACTAGGCACTTGCATATTAAAAAAAATTCAGAGGCTTTCCCTCTAAAAACACTACTTTTAATTTTCATAAAAATGTCCCACAGTTAGAATTTGTCTCACACATGTAAATTCTCTTGATAACAAGATTTATAATCCAAAATATTAACACTCTTAATGTAGGGAGAAAGAAATGCTATTCATGATTAAAAATAATAGAATTCCATCATAATCCAGTATAATTATAAGGATTTGGATATATTCAAATCACATCCCATGAAACTTTACCATATACAACAGAATCTGACATCTCAATTAACAGAATATTGTTCTCTAATCTATTACCTAATCTATTAATCTAATCTCTAATCTATTAAAGACAGTTCATCTGTGTTAAAATCAGCATGAATATGATCATGTAATAGTTAAAAGACAAAAAGTACTAACTGAAAAAGAATAAAAATCTCACCACCTAATTGAAGTAAGAGGTTTAAATATTAATAGCCTTGGCACATAATCCACGGAGGTATAAATAGACCTAATTCAAAACAAGTCATTTCCAATGATATTCTAAGGTCATGTCTAAAAGCTACATTGCCAGTAAGTTTAGCCACAAATCGTTTTCTTTTGTCAAAGATTTTCTTCTGGATATAAAAAATAAAATGGCCATGGTACCATGAAACTTTGTTTTAGCAGGGAGTATGAGTTTAAATAAAAGTTTTAAGAGTTTATCAGGAGAATGAGTGCTCATTCTAATCAGTAAAACTCATGCATCAATGTGTTGATTTGCTAGAACCAACTTAATTGGTTGGTACAAACATGTCCCGCATTGTTAACCCATCATATAAAAGTTACTGTGAATAATTAAAATTAGATTAGATAAGATACCTGTGTAAGACCCAAGTTTTCACTCAACCTGTGGAGTCACTTCTACAGTAGATCTGAATCTGTGAGCCAATGGTCTCAGATCTATACAAGCTAGATCTTGGCATGCACCATCCTGCAGGAGAATTCTGTTGAATCTACACATTCTGGGATGGGACTCAGTCAGTAAAAAACCTGAGTGAATTGCCATTATGTGCCTAGTCGTAGTGATTAACTAATGATCCCACATTTGACTTTTGAGATGCCCTATTTTATACTTTCAAAATAAGGGGGGAAATGCATGTTATAAAAGATACACAAATTTTAAATTAACATGGTTCAAAACAGAAAACAGTAAAAATTACCTTAAATAGAAAAAAAGGTTTTATCAGATTACGTGCCTGAGCAGTAGAAAAATTTGAGATAATGTTTTCTGCATATTAACAGGTTAGGGAGCACTTTCATTTCAAACTATCATAAAACTGATTCCAAATTCCTTTTGGAAGAAAACATTCACATGTCTCCTTCACTAAACTACATCTAATTATTCAAGTACAAAAAAGGACTGTGATGTTCTTTAAATACGGCCAGTATGAAGACAACTAAGAAATACAGGACTAATAAGAATACAAGTTGCATGAAGGTTTAAGAATGTGACTTTTACCACAGTTTCGGAGAGTGCAACAGGACTAGATGTTCTCAATGCAATCCTTCAGATCTATGAGCCGTGAAAGCAATGCTGGTATGGAAAATGAGGCTGAAACGTCTGCCTTTAAATTTTTCTGGGAATGGCTGCCACTGTGTGTAAACTGCAGGGATGGAGCACCTCTATCACTGAAGCAATAAATACCGAACGATCCAGATACTTGGGCCACAATGTCAAACTCAGGCTCCGACATGTTTAGCACACTGAAGACTTCAATCGTATGTGGATGCTAGTCCATGCAATACTCAATTTACAAGGCCTATCTAATGTCAAAAGCCTAGCTAAGTCTTCCAAGAATATTTTTATGTTAAATATTATTTCAGATGGCCACTTATAAGACAAATGCAGTCACAATGACCATCAGAATCTCCATTCCTCACAATGGAAGTCTGGTTTGCTGGCTTGGAGGAGATGTGAAAAGGTATCCTTTACATGGCACTAATCAAGACATACTGGGATATATTTCAGACATTTAGAATTTTCTAACCAATGATTGGGCTTTAACTGGAAACTTTGGCTGGAAAGGTGGGTTTCCCAATCATTCTCCCAGTCAGGAAGGGCTGGAGGGAAGCCCTCCCTCAGAAGAGGAGCTAACCTGACTGCACAGAGCAAGGCCCTATTAGACCACCTCTCACCCATGTGCAGGGTCCCGGCACTGAACATTTACAGACAACGGGATGTGGGACAGAGGGTGCCTTCTTCCCTCTGGCTCCCTCCCCTCCCCCTGCCCCCAGGTGCCCAGGGGTTGGGTGGTAATCACTTCCCACCTGCAGCTCAGGTCTGGCAGTCTTCAACAGGGGAAAGATAGAGAAATCTGTTCTGACCTCAGACCTAAGTCACACTCTTCTAAGCCTGTCACAAGTAACAAGGAGCCTGCCCAGACTTAACAGAGAGACATTCTGCTGCTCATTAACCCAGCGATCCTGTGTGTGGATCCCCAGGGGCAGGGGAGAGGTGAGCTGCACTCTGAAGCTTCATACAGAAAAAGCTATGATGCCTTGGACGGAGTGAGAGGACTTGAGAGACCCGGTGAAATGCACCATGAGCTGAACAAAGGAGTCGTTATGTAGGTAGATGGTAGCAGCTGCAACACACTTGATGGAAATCAAACAATCTCTTCCGGCCTTTTTCCATTATCTCAGGTTAGTGGAGTGAAGATCAATAAACTTCTACTTTGGCCTAAAGAGACACTTTAGAGACCTAAACACTTATCCTAAAGAGATGAGGTACAGGACTGGTGAGTTTTGATGGGAAAAGAGGCATGAATTGGGGGAGACAGGGTGTGGTAACAACAAGCTTCTGCAGGGAGAAGGCAGCCCAGGTCTCAGGGTCTGGGGTGGAAGCAAATGGAAGGAGCCAAACAGGAGAAATAACAGGACAGAGCAAACTGTCTAGAGGTGGCTCTAGTGTGATACAACTTTCGTTGTTGAAAGTATCTATGAGCTATTATGTGGTTTGACTTCACTATGTGTATACATACTTAACTGTATTTCACTCCACATGTTCATATACCAGGAAGCTCTGGGATTTAATTGAATCCTAGCAATTAAAATCAGGATTCATAAAGCAGAGTACTACCTAAGTAGATTTTTGTCCCTTGTTGAGGTTTTTTTCTACAACATGGTTTTTATAATGATACATCATGGGCTAGAAAAGAAAAAAAAACCTGACCCATTATGTGCACATACACTACAGAATTTCAAATGATAAATAAAAAGGGACTTATCGTGACTTCTTCAGATCTTCCAAATTTTCAAGTACTTTGGCCTTAACTCTCAAAAGATAAAATACACAGACAACCTGAGGGCAGGGAAAATGAGAGATACAGTTTTTAGCTCTGCAATCTGCTTTTCCAAGAACCACACTCATTCCAGACGTCACTTGTGAAGATTGGGGGTGGACAGAGAATTCTGTGAGGACCCCACTCTGGACAGCTCCCAGAGCCATTGCTGCACCTTTAATACAGGTACGCCCATGGATTCAAATCCGTTGTAATGACATTCTATATGAAAGAGCCCTTGAGCAACTGTCCCTGTTAAGAAGCATTATATTTTATAGTTTTATAATTAAAAGTTTGAGGACTGAAACAGCTAGCTTGGACTGATGAAAAGGAAGGAATTGCTAAGATGTGCGATGAGAAAGAACACCTGCTAGCAGGTGTCAGAGATGGTCACACTGCCTGGGCAACCAGGGCTCAAAGCATGGTCTTCTCAGGAGGAACTGAGGCCAATCCGACCTATACAGACAGCTGATGCTGCCAGATATTGCTCAGTAGTCATCTCAAATAGTAAGTCACTGGAATCCTGTGTTTATGAATAATATTGAATTTGCTCATATATTTATAAAACTGACAACTGTCATAAAAAAACACAATTTTTTAAAAAAAACTTAAAATCTATAGTCTTAGAAATTTAGTTTTAAATATTAGGGCAACCTAGTAAGGGAAGCTAGCACAAACACTAAAAAAATAATGGAACAATGTAAAACGCCTACCAAAGCAAGGAGACATGATTCTGATTTGGGCTGGTCAGTGTCACGCTCGTTTTCCAAGTTTGTACCCCTGAGAAAACTGTTTGATAACCATTATACAGTAGGCACAGAAATCAGCATACTTTATCAGACAAGACACTAAATAGCTGCTGCTACATTAAAAATTATATTAATTTTCTTAAATGCTGTGGATGAAGAATGTCAAGTTTCCACATCTGTGCTTGGTTTTCATCTAGAATGGAGCAAATGTCAGGCAAGTAACATCACCTGTTACTTTGACATTTTACCCCCCTGCCTGCAAATCTGCGTGCAACTCCACAAATTATATGTGTGAGAAAACCAGATGAACAACAGAACACAGCTGCTGTAGGGTTTGTTTTGCACGAATGGGCCTGGCACTGCTTGTTCTTGAAAAGCTTCTTGAAGGCAGAGCAGTGGGATTCTTTGGCTCGAATCCCAAATAGCTCCAAATTGTGAGTTGTGTGGATCCAATTTCTGAGTTACTGTACTTTGGCTTTGAGACTGCATGAAAAGCACATTAACACTTTTTAGTGTAACTTGTGAGAGGGAAGTCCACCCCACTAGCAACACTTCACAGGATCCCTCCAAGGTGCCCTGTGCTGATGTGGCAACTCTAGCAATGGGGGCTTATTGAGATGGTGGACTGAAGTGACGGGGGACACTTAATCATTTGGTTTGCTCTGAAAAAAGTTTGTAAAGGACCATCCTCCTCCACTTGATTTAGGAGAATCTTCATCTTTAGGCGGAATCAAAAATTGTCGGGAGTTAATGGAGCATGGACTTCCAAAAGACACAATCTCACTGTTGCTGTCTGTGGACCTAGGTGAGTCTGGAGATACCAAGTTCCAAGTATTTACATTTGCCTGAGGTCTGTAACCTGCAGTTTTATCTAAGTCATCATCTGCATCCAAATCGTCTACAGCAGAAGTAATGGGGAGGTGCATCTGTGGCTTATAGCCTGCTCCCCCTACAGGGTCACTGTCCAGTTCCTCCTCTGGTTTTGCCTGAGGCTGGTACATGGACTGGACGTCAATGTAAATGACTTGTGAGGCCCCTCCGCCTTCTTCTGCTCCTGAGCTGGCTAGCTCCTCCTCGATGACGGGTGGACAGTAGGACACAACCACGTGGTTTCCGGGTTCCGTGTCAGGGCTATCTTCTGGACGCTCAGCCACTGGAGAAATTATTTCTGTGTCTTCTATTTTGGGAGCCACTGACCGAGTTTCCAGAACCTCGACATTATTTGGGGTACAAGGATTCATTTCCAATGTTTTAAGAGCACCGTTTCCCTAGAAATAGATTTTAAAACAGGGATTAGGGATACCATGAAAAGCTGCTGCAATGCTCCTCCTACAAAAAGAAGCATTATTTTATATATTTTTCACAGATGCTTATAAAATTGCATCTCTACTATTCTTTAGCTCATACTAGAGCAAAGCTACTTTTTTCTACATATTTTTTTCCACAGTATTTTCCTTGCTCTTAATAGTAGTGAAAAGAAAAAAGAGCATGCAAACAATTTAAAATTAATAATTTTACAAGTTCAGCAGATGCTCAAGCACTGCTATTTTCTTAGTACATTTTACTGTGCATGACACTGGCATGTTAAAAACTTTTCACAAAAGACTAAAAAAAAGGAAGTCAGTACTTCAAAGGTAAATGTAAGAAAATAAAGGATTACCTCACAGACACTCTTTTGAAACTGTAAAGCTTTACAATTTTCTGGATTTGGAATATCAGGATAGAAGGTTTCTTTAATCCTTTAAATAAAGATGATTAAATACATTTAATAATTATAGGATTATCAGTTAGACAACGAGTTAGTAAGTTATCAGGCTTATTTTGACATTTCATAGGAATATGCTAATGAACACCTGAGATAAAAAGGGAAAACCATTTTCAGTGTGATCGGTCGCTGGAGCTTTCATACAATGCATTCAGAGGTTCCTATCTAAAAACCACAAACAGTGCTTCTACTTCTAGAACTCCAACATCTTATGAAAACGGAAAGAAAAGAATTAAGATGCTGACTGTGTTATCAAGTCAAAAGATACAGGCATTACTCACATAACCAAAATGCTCATACTGCAGACTGGATTCAGTACCATTAACTACTTGAGAACATATTTGCATTTTCAGTTCTCTACTACTCAAAACAGACTTTTCCTGGACTATCAGAAAAAGAAAGGCTATCAATCTTAAGCAAACACTAAACACAAAAATGAAATTTGCTTAGTGCCCTATCATAGTTACTGCTGTTTAAAAAAATTTTATTGTTTGAAATTCCTATAGGAGAAAAAACATGTTGTCAATGTATGTCCAAAATATGCTTCCAATCTATCTCCTTATTTTATCTTTTTTTCTGAATTGAAATCGTCTTAAAAATGTCATTTTTGGTAATGAGAATGTGATTATCAAACAGGGCATTCTATAGTTTTAAACTGTTACTATACTGATTTATAAGCCAGGATAGCTAGAACGCATTCTCTTCCTTACCATGAATGATGGCATTCTGAAGGCCAGTGAGGATCAAATGAAGACAGCCATTTGCCTGCTGGCTGAGCACGAGGCGCAATTTCCTCAGCCCTCTCACCTCAGCTCACACCACTCACGTGGTCACTGCACCCAAACACACTGCTTTCTCCAGAAGATCAAGCTCTTTCCAATTCCTTTTCTTTGCCTGGCACATCCTCTCCTCTTCCCCTATTCCAGGGGAACCTCCACAGGGAAGCCTGACCGCCCGCAGGGACATGTTCCCCACGGTTCTCTCACGTGCTGGTCCCAGCACCCACTCACACTTCTCTGCATGTATTTATTAAATGACTACAGGTTCAAGTCCATCCTCCCCACTATTCTATATGTCTGAGGATCATACTTATTTAGTCTACCACTGTACCTCCCTTCACATGGGAGGGCCATTCACATTTGTTAAATAAATGACCAGATTTTCTAAACAGATCACCAGGACAAGTGAGAGCTCAATCATTAAACTACATTTAACCCTGCATATAGCTACTGACATATTTATGCCTTGAAATTTCCTTTTTTGGTATAATGGCTACTACTTTAATTAGTAAATATGCTTTTGTGCATGCTCAATCGTGTCTAACTATCTGTGACCTCATGGACTGCAGCCTGCCAGACTTTCCTGTCCATAGTAGGGGAAATTTACACTTTTCCTTTGTTAAGTTTTAAAACCTGTGAATAATATGCCATGTTCTTGTCTAATATTATCTCCAAGATTAATTCTGACCAATATAAATATTTATTACCTAGTTTCCACCAAAAAAGGTGTACTTGTTATTTTGTTCAGTCGCAAGTTGGGTCAGACTCTCAACACATGAACTAATCAATCATGCCCTTAAGAACAAAACAGCGAGAGTAAATCATTACCATTCTCGTTTCCGATAGCAAAGGATACTTGTTACCACTCCAATGATGACAGCCACTGCCACTGGGATGAGAATGGCAATAATCAAACCCACAGCTGAAAAGAGAACATTGCAGATGTTAAAATCATCATTTTCATATATGAATTCAATAAATTCATATCATAAGACATTTAAGTCAGTAGATTATTTGAAGAAAAAATCCTAACTGCTCCACAGAAACTGAAAAATTATTAAAACATAACCTTAAAAAGTACTGTAATGATTTTTATACTAACACATAAATTCTTTAGAGCAGGGTTTCCCAACTTTGGCACTCCTAACATTTTAGGGCAGATATTTCTTTGACATGTGCTGGTGGGGAAGAGGCTGTTCCAGGCACTGGAAGAAGATTAACAGCATCCTTCAGCCTCTAACCACCAGATACCAGTAGCACCAACCAAAACGGCACCATACAATGCCAAGTGTCCCTAGGAGGCAAAATCACCCCCAGGTGAGAACTATCACCACATGGCCCTCCTTTATTTAAAGGCATGTATGACCTTCAACCCAGGGCTAGAGAACAAGCCTGTGATCAATGAAAGTTCTTTGCTGTTGACCAACTAATCAAGTCCATCTCCTCTACTTTCCATCTCAAATTTATAAGTGTTGTGCTTTACACTTTTTTAAGGCTGTTTCTTACATTCTTCCCTGGATATGTTAAAAATCTCAGAATATTTCGGCCAAAAAATTTTAAACCAGCTGACCGTAAGTTCAACATGCATTTAGAACTCTAAACTTCAGATATATCCCCAATCCCTTAATTTCTCAAGTATGCAGTAGACAACAGGTTCAGATAATTGGTAAGAATAAATATGAAGTCATTTCAGGCCTTTCAACACAGGCCTGCCCTCCACCTACTTTAAAAGTGTAACAAAATGTGAAATTTAAAAAAGGGGGGTTTTCTATATAAACAAAAATCACTAGAAACCCAATGCACTTGAGTATGGAAGGCAACTCAGTCACAACGTTTAACTCACAATTTTCCTTTGTCACCACAAACATGCTCCGCTCTGGGCCCATTCCTGCGCCCGTGTAGGCTCGCAAGACCAGGTGGTAGCTGGTTTTACCTTGCAGATCAGCAATCCTCAGTGTCTTCTGGGATATGTCAGTAATATTCTTAACCTTTATGTCAAAACGACCTGTTTTTCAAGTGAAGAAGATTATTACTGATCTCTGTACTACTTTTAAACACCTGGTTCCTCACACCTGTCACATATCGTTTTTAAGTGAGTCTGAGTGCTAGTCGCCTCCAGGGCCACGGCCTGTAGTGCCAGTCAGCACCATGTTCAATTCCGCCTCCACCAGTTAGTAGCTGGGTTATCTGGACCTATTACTTGAACCACTCTGAACCTGAGTTTCTCTAACTGTGAAATCCCGTATCATGACTTAGCTCTCAGAGCTGTTTTGAAGCTCTCAGAAATTTCTATGCACATTCTCTAGAATAATGCCTGGCATACAGCAGGCAATCAATAAAAGTCTCTTTTCTTTCTGTTACTAAGAGCATGAAAACCCACTGCAACCCAAACCCACGGGGTCAGCGGGACACTGTCACCTGAGCTGACCATCTGTCTGTGAGTCAAGTGAGAAACTCAAGGGAGCGGGAGCACGAATCAATGGAGATCACTCCAAATTACTCAGGAAACCAAGGTCTCAAGAAAGACACCTGTGAGGACGCCTTGGAATTCTTTTAAAAGGAAATGAGAAGAACTGTTTAAACTATTGTTTTTTAAAATTTTAACCAAAATAATGCAGTTCAATAGCTTAAAAACTCAATTACACTATATGGCTAATAAAAAGCAGCAGTTGCCTGCCTGCATCTCCCTCCCCCCAGCCAATCACTTCAAAATCAAGTTATCAGGTTCTGTGGGTATTCACTTCCATTTCTGAAATAAACTTAGATTGGTGGTAGTTTAGTCACTACATCATGTCTGACTCTTGCAATTCCATGGACTATAGCCCATGAGACTCCTCTGTCTATGAGATTTCCCAGGCAAGAACACTGGAGTGGATTGCCATTTCCTTTTCCAGGGAATCTTTCTGACCCAGGGATTGAACCTGGGTCTACTGTACTGCAAGGCAGTCTCCTGCACCGCAGGCATCTTCTTTACTGACTGAACCACCAGGGAAACCTAGATTGGTAGTGCTTGACTTTAAAATTTTAGACATTAGCTCTAACACATAACCACTATCCCTTCTCCCCTCAACCCCACATCACTAGCAGAAAAACATTAAAAAATTTGGTAAATTCAGTGTTTATATTATCAAGATTATATAAATTGAATTATTGCTAAGACAAACTGCTTGATATGATGTTTCCTTTCTTATTTTTCTGTTGTTTTAACTGCCTTTCTTCCTTATTTGTCTGGTGTACCAGTTACTGATTCTTCCCACATCCTTCAATGAATATTCAATGTGATTTTCCATGTGATCCAACACAACTAAGTCCCAGTGCTGTGACCTCCCCTAGCCCCTGCCCGCTCTTTTGTCAGGTTGCTTCCCAGGGTGTCTTTTCTGGACTGAAAGCCTTCCGGGGGCCCTTGTCCCAGGACTCACTGCCCCACTTATTTCCTTGTATTGAGGCTCACTCTTCTAGTAGCTTCTGGAGAAGGGATAGCTGTGGGAAGTAATATGTGCAGCCTTGCCTATCTAAAAATGTCTTCTATTCTCACAGAAGTAGTATAGATACTACTGTATTTGTAGATAAATTGGCTTGAGTACAGTATTATTTTAAGTTGAAAACAATTTTTTATTCAGTATTTTAGCCGTAATATCTTCTAGTATCTGGTATGTTGTTGAGAACTGCCATTCTTATTCCTGATCTGGGCACTATAACTGCTTTTCTTTGTTTCTAGGACTTTTTCTTTATATATTAGGTGCTCTGAAAATTCATCATGACATATTCAGCATAGATCTATTTCTCTATTTTACTGGTGTATTTAATGGCACCTTTTACTGCATACACTGAGGTCTTTTGGTTTTGGGAAATTTTCTTGTGCTATTTCTTTGATAGTTTCCTTCCCTCCATTCCACTCTTCTCTCTTTACGGAATTCTTATAAAGGAGGACAGGGTAGGTCTTTGACTCAAGCTGCAACTTTCTTTTACCTCCAAGTCTCTTTTGCCTCTGTCTCATTTTCAGAAGAATTTCCCCATTTTCCTTTTAATATTTCTACTTTTAATTCCTTAAAAATTTCCTCGATTGCAGTTTTAATTCTGAGGAATTCATAACTGTCTTCTGTTTGTTCCTTTTTATAACATCATGTCTTTTCAATAAATAGTTGTACCTCAACTATCCAAGAATAGTTTTTTTTTTTTTTCTCTCTGCTTTCCCACATAACATTTGTTCCCTCTGACTTCTCCTGGCGTCTGTCTTACAGGTTAGAAGCTTTCTCAATCATCTGGTTATCCCTGGCTACTCCTCATGTTTGAGAGTGAGCCACTAAAAGGCTCACTGGAAGCCTGGTGTGCACAGGTGGGGTTTGTTGGTGGGTGGGCTTCACGTCTGTTCCTGATAGGAAATGACCAGCTGGGTTCCTGACTTTTCATTGGGGTAGTACCCTGAATCTCAGCATGTTTTATGTCTTTTCTCAGGAACCATTTAATCCTCTCACCTCTTGTTCGGGAAACATGCCTAGCTGAAGACCTATTGACCATGTGGAAAGGAGGAAGAAGGAAGGTCACACTGTCTGCTGTGGTGTCCCCTGCCTGGAGGCTCTCTGGTTCGGAATAAATCTGTTCTCGTTCAGGGGAGAGGGCACTCAACGTGAGCTACATGACACGCTGTAGGACTTCGGGGTTCTAATTGATGCTTACGCGCCTTCAGTCAACTCCCGCTGTTCAGCCCAGATTCATCCTAACCACTGGCCTCCACTGCTGGCCCTGCAGGATAAACCAAACTACTTATAACTGATGCCCGTGCAACTGTCCACCTAGACTGTCCCACCATCCACTCTTCTAGTTCACTCAGCCCACTTCCATGTCCTAATGTTTCTACATCTTCTTTTTTGCCTCTCAGATTCTGTCTTTATTGGCTTTATGGGTTTTTTTGTTTTTTCCTCTGTTTTACTCTAATTTTAGGGACCAATCCACTCTAACTAGAAGTCTACATGCTATAATTTTAACTGATTCAAGTGCAAAATTTCTGAGAACCTGAGGTTCAAGTGCAAAATTTCTGAGCACCTGCTGGTATAATGTCTGGGCTTCCCTGGTGGCTCAGGTGGTAAAGAATCACCTGCAATGCAGGAGACCCAGGTTCAATCCCTGGGTTGGGAAGATCCCCTGGAGAAGAGAATGTCAACCCACTCCAATAATTCTTGCCTGGAGAATCCCATGGACAGAGGAGCCTGGTGGGCTACAGTCCATTGGGATCAAAAAGAGTTGGACATGACTGAGCACTTTTTTTTTCTGGATTTTTGCAGAATCTGATAGGGTTTGCCTCAGCTCTGAAGGTTCAGAAAATGCAGAACTCCATGATTTGGGGGAGGCACATGTTTATGCAGCTGTTCTCCAGAGGTGATTAAACTAATCCCATGTGGGGAGCATCTCCCACTGGCATTGTTTGTTCTCTACTTGTCAGATAGTCATTAAATAAATAAAATGGTTTCTTTCCAAGAAAAGGTCATTAAGGAAAACAAAAGCTCTCAAACTGAAGAGAAGATACATGCTTGTGTTATTTGGTCATAAATAAGAAGCATCTGACTTTGAACAGAAATGTCATTGAGGGTTTAAAGCCAAAAGTCTGCATAAACATTTCTGTACTTGTAAATTTGAGGATTCTTAAAGGTCTCTGTGCATACACTTACCAATTGTCAAGACTGACTCTAAGTTTTTAAGATTTAAGGGACACACACATGCTCTATCAAGTCAATTAAGTTTCCCAGCTCATTAAGGTCTTGGCTAACTGTGGGGATAGCTCTTTGTCAAATAAAAGGAGGCTCTGAAGCCATTCTTTAGGTTCCTGAGTTTTCACCTCCATCAGCATAAATGCAGGAAGACTTTTTTTTCTTAAGGTAACCTTCATAAGATGCTTTGTTATGCACCATGCAAGATTACTAAGAGATGTACTCTGTCCTGTGGGGATCATAATCAAAGGCCTCAGAATAAATGATTTGAATGATTTCTTAAAGACCACATTCCATTTATTACATACTAAAAACCTGAAAATCTCATATTCATCAAATGACTTCATTTTTACTTCCTTATTGTTCAGAGTTGTGGAGACCAGTTTAAACTATTCAGTAGTATTTTCTTTTAACTTTTCATCCTTCTTTTCATTTTTTGTAATTAATACAGAACTTCTAAGAAAGAGTATATACTTATTCTAGTAATTTACTCACCTGATTCCAAACCCATTATCTTAGATGTGTCTCTCTCTCCTTTTTCAAAGTAAAACAAATATCCTCTTAAAAACCCTCTAAGCTCTTCCACAGGAATTTCTTCCCATTTCACTAATATAGAATCTGCAGATGTATCCTCAACAGTAAAATTTGGAGCAACAGCTGGAGCTGTAAAAGAAAAGAAGCCCACACTTAAAGGAGGATTTACTAATACAGAGCAAGACATTAAGGTTTAATGAGATTTCTAGCCTCAAAAATAGCTGCACCTGGAATTAGAACATTACTCTTTATTTAATCATAAACTTTCACATATATTATCACAGCACTTTTACTATGAAGATACAAAGATAGAACTTACAACTTTCAGGTGTAAAACATATCTGGGGGCGTTTGCAAAACCTATGCAAAATCTTTAAGTGGCTACTCTCCAACAGACTATTTCTATTTTCCCTTTTTAGTAATAGTCCTAAATAAACAGTTTTTAAAATTTGTAAAAGTACATAATTAAGTCTTTTTGACATCCAAAATAAGACTTAAGTTTTCTTTATGACAAAAGTAAAACTGTGAAATGTAAACATTAAACAAATGAAGTAATAATAAGTAATTATAAATAACTTTAGTTATATAAGTTATTTTTCTTCCTTGAACTAATGAACATCTCAATTCAATCTATCTTTAGAATTCAATATTAAAATTGATGTCTACTTATAATTTCTCATGTTATCTTCAACTCTAATTTAGGAAAACTTACCCATTTAACTTACCCAATTCTTCTACATATCCAATTATAGAACGTAATAATTGATATCCTTGATTTCTGCACCCATACACCGAAAAATTATATCTTACACCTGGTCGAAACTGATCTACAGGATGAACACAATCAGTAAACTTTCCTAAGTACATAGGACCATGAATATCTATTTTAGAAATATCAAACTGATAACAACTCACTTTGAAATTTCCAAAGCTAATTTTACAAAGGTTACAGAAAATACATTTGCATTTCCAAAACTAGTAAACATTCAGAGTGAAGGGCTAACAGAAAGATGCTATGTGGGCCTCTACATCAAAGGTCCTCCTTCTCATCCTATAGGTTTCAACTTCATCTTATATCCCAGATATTCCAATTAAAGAGACATTTCTCACCTCTCTGCATCATTCCACCCTGCCCCAGTCCATTCTGATCATTCTTAAGGCCAAAGTGAGAAAGGAGGGAAGAGGGGTCATAATTTATACAGAGCACACTATGGCTGTGTAAGGTTGGGCTGCACTTCTCTGGTAAGGGACGGCGTACTCGGCAAGGAAAAAGAAAGGCAACCATTGAGGCCTTGGCCAATTATGCACATGAAAGAATCTGGCTGTATTCCAAGTAGAACTGGAAAAGAAAATCTGAAGCTCCATGTAGGAATCCAATGTGTGGGGCTCACCCTGACCATCTGACAGTGAACAGAGTAAACGAGCAGAACGTGATTGCTGGGAGCGAAGGCTCAGCAGCTGCTCGCTCTCCTGAACTTCATTCACTCACACGTGAGGGAGACCGGGGCGGGGGAGGGGGTGACGTCAGAAGCTTCACTACCAAGAGGTTCCACAGTTCCCACAGGCAGAGGCACACTCGCTCATGCCAGGGACTCGGAAGGAACAGTGACAGTGCAGAGGCTAGAGTTCCCAAGGACAAGGCTGGCTCAGCCTGCAGGTAACTGCACACCCCGCTTGGCTGCATCATCTTAGGCTTGCAGCTCCTGAGCTCCACCCCGGCCCTCAATGCGCCCTTGACCTACGTCAGGGGAGGTGGTAATGGGTGCAGGTCCTTTGTGCTCAGTAACCTGGCTTGTGGGCAAACAGGGGCAAAAAAGATGGCGAGTGAGGTCATCATAAACAGTGCTGTGCTGAACATTCTTAGATGTACATCTGTGCTGCTCTTGGATTTTATTTTTCTTAGAATACATTCCTAGACAAGTAACGACAAGATCAAAGTCTATGAACTGTTTCACACACACAATGCCACAAACTGCTTTCCAAAAAAGTTAAACCAATCCATATCCAGCCCAGTGGTGAGGGGGAACAGTCACTGCACTGCAACCAGTCACTCCGTGTTGCTCTTTTAAAAAAAAAATTTTTTTTTTGGTGGTTAGCAGCTGTAGTGTATACTGAAATAGAAACTTAATGGTGTACACATGAAACTTGCATGATGTTATTATAAACCAATGTCACCCCAATAAAAAGTAAATTTAAAAAATATCTTTAAAGAACTCTGAGAGACACCTACCAGATTCTATTACAGTTTCAGTGCTGTTTGAAGGGACTCTTTTCCAGTCCATGAGGCAGGGTTCAGACTGAGATGAGTTACACCACTTAATTACATAGTCGCAGGTCATGTTGGGGTTGTAATTCCAAGTGAGAAGGATCCTATTTCCCATTCCAACAGCCTGTTCTATTTTGAGATCATCTTCAAGAAAGAAGGATTTTTACTAATGTTAAAAATAATGTTTTAAGGTAAGCCTCACAAAAATGAGCCAGAGTTATACAAATCATTTCATTGTACATACACTGCAAAATGGTGCTAAACTAGATAAACCTTCAGCCAAGTTTAGAAATGATGCTCTATGGCAATTACTTGGCCATACAGATCAACTCTGCAGCTGGAAAAACAAAACAAAACAAAACAAAAAAGAACCAAGGATCAGGTAGTGACATAGCTGGGCTGGGACATGAAGCTCAAGAACCGTGATGAATGGGGCAGAGGGAATGAGCACTAGAGGGTCACGGCACAGCAGCAGAGGGACGGGAGGCTGGAGAAGAGCAGGCATGGGTGGTCAGAATCTCCTCTCTCATCGTCCACTATGGATGTGAGCTCCACAAGAGCAGATGGGGGCCTGCGCCTGCAGCTCCACTCTGGGCACAGACCACGCCAAGCAGGAGCACAACCCCATGCAGTGGGTGAATGAACTGGTGTGCCAGCCCCTCGCTTCCCTTCAAGGGAGACTGCTGTCCCACGGGTGGGCGGGAGGGATTCTGGAGACAGGACAGGGAGAAAAGCTATGGGATGGGATGGCCAGTGTGGGCAGAGAGCAATACAGATGCTGGAGGTGCAGAGGCTGACAGAGGGCACTGGGGGCCATGGTGAGGTTTGACTTCCCCACCTGTCAGATCTCAGCCTCAGTGATGAGGGAGGCCCAAGGTTGGCAGCAAGTAATTAGTGTGGGTTAGGACAGCATGGCCAAGAGGGAAATTTTCCAGAGAAACAGGGGAAAGAAGTAATTTCTCTAACTGATGCATATTTAAGTAAAAAGCCATGGAAAGGTTTTTTTGAACAAAATTTGCATTCATAAGCAACTACTACTGGACACAAGACAACAATTCAGCTTGGAATACAGGACTCTGGATACAACAGCTTCTTGGCTCAATGTGACAAAAAAAATCCACACCGTCAGCCTGCACTGCGGTTATAGTAGGGCCTCAAACTGGGGAAATCCTTTAGGAACCATGATTTGTTCTGAGTTGCAGTAACTTTCTGAAAGCTGATGGCCAGACCATTGTTAGTTCTGTAAATTACTCCCGAGAGACACACAGAAAAGGTAGGAATATAGCTCCTAAATTAAAAGATAACATAGGCATTGCCTATTATTGTGAGAGCCATGAAATACCCAACCTAAATCGGCGCTTATCTTGCCACGGGCATTCATACATCTTTCCCTTGTCTTGTTTCTGCCTCCACAGCACCGCCTGCAGACCTCTCCTCTCTAGCGAGCGCTCCTACCTGGGCTCTGGCTGCTGCTCTGTGTCTTGAAACATACTGTGTGTCCCTATTTCTTCCTCCTAATGTGTCCACAACTGACTGGATCAAAGGAACGGTTACGTAACAAGCAGTCAGACACTGCCCAGTGCCCTCAAACAAGTACTGAAAAGGTCCTGAGGACCCAAACTGGACCAATTTTTCTTCCTTCAGGAGTGGGTGATCATAGAAACATGACCCCATACTAGGGTGGGACAGCAAGGAGGGCGAGCAGGAATGACTCAGAAGAGGTGCTAACTGGGCGAGGAGGCAGGAGTAGCCGCTGAGAACTTGTGACTTAAAAAGCTGTCAAGGCAGCTGAGGCAGAACGGACAGTCACTGTTCAGTTCAGTTGCTCAGTCATGTCTGACTCTCTTCGACCCCATGGACTGCAGCACACCAGGTTTCCATGTCCATCACCAACTCCAAGTTTACTCAAACTCATGTCCACTGAGTCAGCGATGCCATCCAACCATCTCATCTTCCCCTCCTTCTCCTGCCCTCAATCTTTCCCAGCATCAGGGTCTTTTCCAATGAGTCAGCCCTTTGCATCAGGTGGCCAAAGTACTGGAGTTTCAGCTTCAGCATCAGTCCTTCCAACGAATATTCAGGACTGATTTCCTTTAGGATGGACTGGCTGGATCTCCTTGCAGTCCAAGGGACTCTCAAGCGATTTCTCCAACACCACAGTTCAAAAGCATCAATTCTTTGGTGCTCAGCTTTCTTTATAGTCCAACTCTCACACCCATACATGATTACTGGAAAAACCATAGCTTTGACTAGACAAACCTTTGTTGGCAAAGTAATATCTCTGTTTTTTAATATGCTGTCTAGGTTGGTCACAGTTTTTCTTCCAAGGAGCAAGCATCTTTTAATTTCATGGCTGCGGTCACCATCTGCAGTGATTTTGGGGCCCCAAAAAACAAAGTCTGCCACAGTTTCCACTGTTTCTCCATTTGCCATGAAGTGATGGAACCAGATGCCATTATCCTAGTTTTCTGAATCTTGAGTTTTAAGCCAGCTTTTAAACTCTCCTCTTTCACTTTCATCAAGAAGGCTCTTTAGTTCTTTTTTGCTTTCTGTCATAAGGGTGGCGTTATCTGCGTATCTAAAGTTATTGACATTTCTCCCAGCAATCTTGATTCCAGCTTGTGCTTCATCCAGCCCAGCGTTTCTCATGATGTACTCTGCATATAAGTTAAATAAGCAGGGTGACAATAGACAGCCTTGATGTACTCCTTTTCCAATCTGGAACCAGTCTGTCATTCCATGTCCAGTTTTAACTGTTGCTTCTTGACTTGCATACAGATTTCTCAGGAGGCAGGTCAGGTGCTCTGGTATTCCCATCTCTTGAATTCTCCAGTTTGTTGTGATCCACACAATCAAAGGCTTTGGCATAGTCAATAAAGCAGTAGTAGATGTCTTTCTGGAACTCTCTTGCTTTTTTAATGATCCAGCAGATGTTGGCAATTTGATCTCTGGTTCCTCTGCCTTTTCTAAATCCAGCCTCAACATCTGGAAGTTCACAGTTCATGTATTGCTGAAGCCTGGCTTGGAGAAGTTTGAGCATTACTTTGCTAGTGTGTGAGATGAGTGCAACTGTGTGGTAGTTTGAGCATTCTTTGGCATTGCCTTTCTCTGGGATTGGAATGAAAACTGACAGTCACTCTAACTCATCAAATTTAAAGGGGGCACTGAGGAATTTTAAAATTACATCAAAATTCTTTTCTAAAGCTTATAACTGAAGATGCAATTTAGACTTTAAGAAAAAATTTTTATCAGTAAAGGATTCCTATTAATAAAGAATTGTCTTATCAATGAAGCTGTCATTTAAAATGAGTATTTCTTCCTAACTGTTTAAAAATAGCCTAGCTGATGTGTCAACTGTCATGGTCTTGGGGAGATGTCTGAAAGCAGCTGTAAATAAACTGTTAAAATATTTCTTCCTAAGAGTAGTATCTACCGCCATAACTGTACAACATTACGTGTTAAAGTAATTGGGTTTTGTAATTATTTTGTCCATCAGTGTAGATGCTTCCAGTCAATACTGAAGGCTACTGCCTCTCCATGAATATTTAAGAGTAATCTGCCTGTTCCTCCTTACTCATTAGCAGCAGCAGAGGGTATGAGAGGAAAGCTGACGTAATGAGAGCAAGCAACACCATCAGAATGTTCCCCCTTGCTCTCCTACGCTTATATACTACTTTTACCTTAAGTACTCACCATTGGGAATTTCCATACTGGCTATTTCAGAAGGCGGTGATAAGCCAGCAGAATTTTTTGCCACCACACTGATGATGTAGTCATTTTTATCAAGTTGTAATTCTGCCTTGTGTTGAGGATCAGGAATAGAAAGGGACTGTGTTTCCTCATCTGATGAATACGATACTTTATAAGAAAGTATTTTTCCATTAGCTTCATTAATGGGTAAAGGCTATTAAAAAAAGAAAAATAAATTCTGTTATAAAAACTGGCAAAGGTGATATGGCAAGGCAAGGCCATTGAGTTTTAACTGGATACTTCACTAATCCGAACAAAGTAATCTTAGGAAACATGAGTCATTAACTGTGCACAGCACAGACTTTAAATACAGTGAGATCTGGATAAATCAGGGAAGCAGTGCTGAACAAAAACTACCCTTGCTGTAAGCAGTAGAGTACACAAAAATATAAAAATTAAGTAACAAAACAATATTTAGCTCCATATTACTCAGAAGGAAACCAAAAGAAGAGATGAGAAGCAGTGCTCTACGTAAAAATAAATAAAATGTTAAAAAGTATGGCATCAAGTTTTTAAAAGTTATTGTTTTCTCATTTTAAAGTATTACTTGCTTATTACAGAAAATGTGGAAAATATTAAAAAGTTGGAAGAAAAATCTCCCATATTCCCATTTCTTAAATATTATTACATTCTGGTATTTCCTTCAAGCTGTTTTTCTAGTTGGAGACTTTTATTGAAATTGTTTCAATCATACTATACAATTGTCTATCTTTTTTTCACTTTTCTACAAGACACACTTTTTTTGGATAATACAGTTATGTGTATTTCTAACAGCTTTGTATTTCATATAGCATTTTCATTAGTTTACCTGAATATTTCTTAAATAGGTAGAATTTAAATTGTTGCCATTTTTTTTTTTAACAATAAAATGAACCTTTTGGTGCCACAGTTTTTTCCCCAGTTAGGATTAATTCCTTAATGTGGGGTCCCAAATCTGGGCTTACAGGAAAGGAAATAAACATTCAAACGTCTTTACTTTTATGTCTAAACTGCTTTTCAAAACAATCTCTCCAATTTATACAGCAGTGCCCAGGACCCTCTGGTCCAGCCACTAATGCTCTGCTGCAGACACGGAGGTAGCTCTTTGACGGCCTGGTACAGTGAACACGCTACCATCCCAAGAGTTGTGGGTTTCATTTGATACTGCCCATTCCTTCACATATCACCCCCATTCCCTTGGTTTCTGCACACTGTTTTCTTCTGGTCTTCCTGCCCTTCTAACCTTCCCAATCTCCTCTGATGGATCCTCCTCCTCTGCTGGTTCTTCCAGATGCCGTCACCACCCACCATTCCACACTTGGCCTCTTTCTACGCTGTGTGCTGAGTGATCAATTTACATGCTACTCAAAGCTATGTCTTTAGCTCAGACCTCTCCGGAGCTCCAGAGCCTTACACCAAACTACTGCCTACTGAACTATACTCGATCATCCTAGTGGCACATGTTTTAAATAATCAACATGTCCAAAACAACTTAATTTTCCACCCAAATATGCCAGAACCATAAACTAGTCACTGAAGTTAGAATCTGAATTGCTTCAATATTTTTAATCCTTGGTTAAACATTCATCTAGTCTGAAAAATATCCTAAACTCTCTACATTGAAGTCATTTGTACAATCATTCCTGTATTACTGTACAATCTGACAGACAACTAACAGCAGCTAGGGGGTTCTTCCAATTAAGCATAAGAGGGGATGCAGAGTCATATACAGACAACCTCCAAGTGACGGAAGATGTACACAACATGCTCATAGACTTCAAAGATTCACTTTAATCAAAGCCATATGATATCAAGTTTTTGTTAAAGTTTACTTTAAATAACAAAATGCACTATTTAAAAGAATCTGGTTATAACTGTTCCTATTAAATCTGATGTAGAAAACAACGGTTTGTGGTTTTGATTTTCATAAATCAGCAATGAAAACATTTGTTCCAGTAAGGTTTATGCTCTAATAAAACATAATGCAAATCCTATTTTAGCTAAAATTTTAGAAAACTTTGTAAAACTTTGTAATTGCTATACTGTAACACAATTTATTTAGCGAACAACAAATTATGCTGACTGATAGATATAAAAAGTTGGTTTCCTATTCACTGAAGAGAAAATACAACATAAACACTTAGGATTCTAACTTGTGGTTTCTGGCTGCATTTCTGACTAAAGTGAGATAGATGGAATTCATGAAATCCTCGGTTCTTTATAAGTCTCATAAAATCAAACTGAAGAATGCCTAGACCTGAGACAGAGATCCTCACTACAAGGACTGTGGTACATCTGCAGTGATGAGGAATTTGGGAGTCTTAGAAGCCAGGCTACATTCTCAGCAATAGTGTCAACTAAGCCAGTCTGGGAAATCCTGGCTCCCTAATAGCCCAAGAACCATATGTAATTTAAGTAGTTTAGCATACTAAAGTTACTTAAATATTCAAGGAAAAATAAGACACTTACCTTCCAATATATTATTAGATTTCTTCCATCAGAACTCCACTCCCTCCAAGTATCTGGTCCCTTTGAAGGAACTAGAAAAGAGATTTAAGAGTTAATATTTGAAGATGCATACTATATCAGTTGATAAGATCAGTAACTGGGATGGCAGGGTTTAAAATTGAAATTTTCAATAAAAATGTGAAGCAGTTAGTGCTTTTAAGTCATTTTCCACTTAGAAAATGAAGCAATGGAAAAGCTGAGCTCTGAACATCTGCAAAGCACAAGGTCCCTTACAAGGGGTTAAAATCACCCTCACATCCCTCAGACGAATTGGGGCTGCCTCTCCATCTCACATCCTCCAACCTCCCCTTATTCAAGCTAGCTCTGGCTACAGGCTGGCTTCCTGATTGTTCCTAAAACATGCAGAGGACACCCACTCCAGTCTTTCTGCACTTTCTGTATTCTCTCTTCCTCTACCTAGAACTTTCCTCCACTGAATTAACTATGTAGCTTCCTTCCCCACCTCCTTTATATCTCAGATCAAGTGTTACCTTATTAGTGAAGTCTTTCCCAGCTACCTTATTTAAAATTGCACCCCTCTCCCCAACCACTTGGCCTTCATTCCCTAGCCCTCTCTCTAGTTTTTATTTTTTTCCATGGCACTCATTGCAACCCAAAATACACTATTATACATGTAGTTTTAAAAACTCATTTCTAATACTCTATCCTCTACACTCCATGGGCAGAGAGTGCTGTTTTATTTACTGCTATATTCCTAGTAACTAGATGACTCCTGACACATGGTGGATACTTGTAAGTATTTATTAAGTGAATTAATGCCTTTATTCAATGAGGTGTAAATAAAGTGTTTCCTCTAGGCAACAACAGCTCATCAACTAAAGGCAAAGCTCCTGTGGTAACTAGTTTCCAAAAGGACCAATGATGCTGGTCATGCCCCCTGACATTCACAGTGTGGTGGTCCCTCCTCTACTGTATCAGGGTTGGCCTGTGTGGCCAGTAGGGTACAGTAGACGTGATGTATGTTCCTTCTGAGACTAGGACATAAAGACATTGTGGAAGCTGCATTGTTTTCTCTTTGATCACTAAATCTGGGTGCTGCTGGCTGCCATTTGAGGATACTCCAGCAGCCCTATGGAGAGGCCCACACAATGAGGAATGGAGACCTCGTGCCAACAGCCATGTGAGTGAACCATCCTAAAAGCCAATCCTCTAGACCCAGTCAAGCCCACAGGCCCCACTCACATCCTGATTGTAGCCTCCTAAGAAACTCTAAGCCAGAGCCACTCAGCTAAGCTGCTCCTAAATTTCCAATCCAAAGACACTGTGAGATAACAAATGCTTGCAGTTTTAAGCCACTGAGCTCTGGGGTAATTTGTCACAGCAACAAATAACTAGTGTACTCTCTCTCGGGACTCAAGCATGATCCAAATAATTCTTGGATGCATTGTAAAGATCCTCTCATCTCTCTCGTCTTCATGTGAGGAGACAAAATCTGGGTTAATACTTATCAGTTTCTGTCTTACTGTTTCTCTGCTTATTGCTTCCCCTGTGGTTCAGACAATAAAGAATCTGCCTGCCATGCCAGGGACCTGGTTCAACCCCTGGGTCAGGAAGATCCCCTGGAGAAGGGAATGACAACCCACTCCAGTATTCCTGTCTGGGAAATATATGGACAGAGGAGTCTGGCCAGCTACAGTCCATGGGGTTGCAAAGACTTGGACTCGACTGAGCGACTAACACACATTACATTTTTTGGAAGAAGTCTGATATTCCCTATATTATATAGTGCAAATAAATCTTTTGCTATTCTTTTACTGAATAATTTCCGAAAATTACACCTATTTCTAAATTTTTGCTGTTTGAAAGTTGATATCTGGATTAATCAAGAGTAGAATCTCAATCTGTCTTTAGAAATTATCATACTCGGCAAACCAGTTACCTGATTTTTTAGATGTTTTGATCTGGGTGTACCACAGAAACTGAAGTTCAAGAACTTGTAGTCCCGACCATCCTCAGGCCTAAGTCACAATATTCTACCAAATTAGCTTTATTAATAATTGCTTTCAATAAAGAAACACTCTAAATATATTATAATAATTAAAATACCAGGAATAGGAGGAGAAAGGGTGAGAAAAATCACCCCATAATCTTACTAAATTTCAAGTTTGGTTTCCTATGTATCATCCTAATATAGTTATAATCACATTGTGGATAAGGTAGCTTAGCAGTTTCACAATAACATAAGCCAAGCATTTTTCCACGTTATCACAAAACTAAAACTCATTTAAAATTTTTGTATGGTATTTTACTGCTGCGGTATTAAATAATTACACAAGTTATCTAAACATTCTCTTACTTTTAGTCACTCTGGTGACATTTTCGTTTAAAAAAAAAAAAGGTATAAGATTTCAGGATCTATAGTAATAATTAGCCATAAATCATTCAGTTAACTTACTGGCTTCTTTGGTTAAATACTGTTTTTCTTTGCTCCATTTGCTCCATTTCCAGAAAGGGTCAGTAGAACAACGAATCCGAAAAGTGTATATGGTATATGGATTTAACTTGTCCACAGTAGTAAGGTAATTTGAACTCTCTACCCCCCTCATTGTGACACTCCGCTATTAGAAAACAATCATATATATTACATATGTAATATCATGTGTATATGAATAAATATATATATACGTATAGTTTTTAGAAGAAAACCTCCCAAATTTGCAACATAAATTGACTGAATGTCCTAAGACTTTACCTCTATAAAACCAAAGACAGTTCATCCACTATATTTTAATTCTTATATAAAATTCAAAATCAGTGAAATTATGTTCTGCAATAGGAAAAAAATTAAGGTATATTTTTAATCCAAATGTTGAATCTAAGTAATAATGGTCAATTAAATTATACAGAGATGATGATGGTTAATGGTGATGCAATATACCTTAATATAATTTAGTAATCTAAGATGACCTGGAGTATTAAATACATTATTCAGATATTTGGAAGCTTATTGGAGGCAGGCATCATTTATGCATTATTTTTTACATGGCACTTAGAGCCTCTAGTGCAGTGCTAAACATGTAGAATATCCAACAAATATTTAAACCAAATAAAATTAAGATGAAGCAATCTGAAACAAATTTGAGATCTGCATGCCTCCGGAAAGTCTCTGAATTCCCAATTGCTTATGGCAAAGGAACTTTTTGTGTTACATTTTGCAGTTTGACTGATTTTCTAGAAATTATCAGTACATTTCCAAATAACTATTTAAGTAGAATGTCATTTATTTTAGATCTACCCCAAATTACAAGATGGTGCAGCATAAAATTCAACTTAAGTATTTAAAATGTATTAAAAAGTCATGTTTTGACTTATAATGACCAATTATAACTTGCTCCTATTGCTGCACTTAGCAGTTTTAAAAATCACATCTTCTCTCTGCTGCTGATTAGTATATTAACTAACACAAAGGCTACAGCAAAAACTACTCATTTATTCACAAATTTATTGAGCGCAGGTTGCACGCCAGAGACTATACTAGACCTGGGCACGTTCTGAGTAGCAGCAGTCATACTTATATTCTATAACACCTAGTACTACAATTGTTTTTAAGTGCTAAATGCAATACTGTTATGATGTGTGTATATATACACACACACACATATAATGGCTTTTAGGAAACCTCTATAATAAGTAATCTGAGAGCTTACACATGTGAATTTACTTAATTCTTTCTGAAAACTATGTATTTTATCCAAAATAATGTTAAAGGAAGTTTAGAGGAGAATCTTACTCACCAATTCATGCTCTGAGTTAGTTTTATTAATTTTAATTTGACATAACAGTTTAATTTTTGTAAAGTTGCCCGGTAAATGCCAGGAAAGCGTCACAGCTGTTGAATTAATATCCTTCACTTTGACTGAAGTAGGAATACGGGGATGAACTGTAAATATAATTTTCAAAAATTACTTTAAAAGTTATTTTCTAATATGACAAATGAGAGCCAAAGAAAACAAAAAACAGGAGATGTGTTATTAGTGCTGATCAACAATGTTCCACCCAGTGTTTGTGGAAGACAAACCTCACATTTATGGTCTGACACCAGGCCAGCATTGCTTAAGAACCATTCATGCTCAAGCTGCTCAGTTAGCACCAGAAATACTAAAAGGCAGTCTCTACCATTAAGGAACCCCTCCTTCACTTGAGGAATGACAAAGAGAAAGGAAGAAAAGCAACAAGAGTATATACATTAAGTCCTAATGTGTGGTAAAGACATTAACAGATACTGTAATTTGGCAAAACTACTGCAGAAAAGCATTTCAGGCTGGAGTCCTGGCAAGAACAAAGGCACAGCGAAGCAAACTACACACTGTATTGGTTATACTGCATACACTAATTTGAGTGATAGGAAAGAATCATGGGAAAGACAGGGCTGAAATGGCAGAGGGCAGATAAATACATACAAAAGTGCCACTCAAATATAAAATGTAGCCTTTCTGATCTTAGGGGAAAAAAATCAAGAAATAACGAAGACAAAGAGAAAGAATAATTGATGTAAGTGACTTACATCTACAAGTAAGGCAACAGGACCATCTACTAATCACTTGAGGGCTGTCTTTAATGCAAATGGTTTAAGCCCTTAGCCCCTGGCTGTCTCTAAGAGAAGCCTTCCATGCTACTGCTCTGTATATTGCAGAGCTGGTCTCAGTTGATACATGTGGAAAGACCGCAGGAATGAATGCCAAAAAGAACTGACCTCTTCTATTTCTATTTTGAGCTATATATTAATAGGGTTGGTAAAAATTCAGCAGAAATCTGAATTTTTACTGAAATTTTACTGAATCCTATCAGTAAATATGAACGAACTATTTACTGATACATAAAACAACGTGGATGGATAGCAAAGACATCATCCTTAGTAAAAATGCCAACTTCCTATGGCGCAGGGGTAAAGAATATGTTTGCCAATGCAGGAGATGCAAAAGACACAGTTCGATCCCTGGGTGGGGAAGATTGCCTGGAGGAGGAAATGGCAACCCACTCCAGTATTCTTGCTTGGAGAATACTTGGACAGAGGAGCCTGGCAGGCTAGAGTTCATGGGGTTGTAGTCAGACACAATCACAAACAAACACACGAATGCCAAAGGTTACATAGTGTATGACTCCATTTACACACATTCCCCATGTGACAAAACAACAGACATGAAGAACTGATTAGCTGTTTTCCAGGGACAGAGGTTCATGTGTGTGTGTGTGTGTTGACGGAGGGAGATGGGGTTGCTAAAGTGACAGCAAAAGGCAGTTCCTTTGGGGTGATAGGACAGTTCTATATCTTAACTGTACTGGGGGGTCACATAAATCTATACATGGATCTGATTGCACAAAGCTACACACATACCACACACAATTAAATGCATAAAAACTGGTGAAAACAGAGCAAGGTCAGTAGTCAGGTTCAGTATTGAACCAGGAGGGTCAATTGTCTAACTGAAGTACAGGTTCCATAAGATGATACTACTGAGAAAGTTGGAAGGAGGACTCTATTATTTTTGTAACCACCCCTGAGTCTACAATTATTTCAATATAAAAAGTTTTTAAAAATTGGGCAAAAATATCTTCAGAAATCAAAATTATCAGATAAAGCCATTTACAGTTTCTATGAAACTAGTTCAAATTTTTATTTGAATTCAATAAAATAGTGAAACTTGAAATTTAAATTTTTAAAGATTTTTAAATGAAATTTTAAAAATGAATACTAAGTAACTATAAAGAAAATAATCAGTAAAAAAAAAAAATCCCTAGAAGCACTTTTCATTAACCTCAAGACATTTTACCACTTCTAAAGTTATTTTTTAGACACTGGTTTATGCAGCAATTTACCTTTTTCAGTTACGTTAATTAAAAGTGTTGATTCTGTCTGACCCAGAAGATTTTGAGCATTCAATGTAAAGTTGTATATTTCTTGGTTTGGAAGTATTTGAAAGAATAACTGGTAGCTTTCATTTGTGGACACTTTATTTCCACTAAATCTACTATATTTTCCTGAAAAACTGAAAAAGAGAATATTAAGGAATATTAAAATAATTTCAAAATGGCAAGAGATATATTACAGGAAAAAACTGATGAGTAAATTTCAAGTAGTTTTTTCAAAAAAGTTTATATTTCCAAGTGTATATATACTACATACTCAGGGAAGAAAATATATACAATGCAAAAAACAGAAGAAAATAATCAGCCATATTCCCACTACCCAGAGAGTCTCTGTTCATATTTGAGGGTTCTTCTTTCTAGGCCTTTTAAAAAAAGACGACAAGATATTGAGTCTGCAATGTGTTTAAATTACAGTGTTTATAATATACCCAATTTTCTACAGCATATTTTGTTTTGTATCTTTTGTATAGATGAAATAGAACATCTCCTTATGTCATTTAACATCCTTCCAGCATGCAATACTGTCTGACAACCTTTCCCAGCGACCTTCACCTTTCAAATAAAGTGTAACTTGTACTGCGTGGGCCCTCCAAGGACGTCGGTCTTCCTGGATTCCAAGTGCAAATGATTTCTTTTAAATCATATGTCTCACAGTTCAGTTTCTGAGGAATGTCTGGTGGATCTAATTAAAAAATGAAAAAAAAGCAGTTACTTTGGTTACATATACCTTCCCTAAAAAATGTTGCATTTTATAAATGTCAATTACATTTTGGACAATTTTCTTAAAAAATAAAATAATTTGCTTATTACATTTTGAGTGATGCAGCAATTACCATTCTTTGTATAGCATGTTGTGTCAGAGTTCATATTACATTAGGAACGATGGATTAAAATATACCTAAGAGCGACTATTAGCTCATTCGGAAACTTCCTCCTAGCAACCTTAAGAGATCAACTATCATGTTTTTCCCTTAATCCTATTTTACAGTCCATCAAATCTCTCAAAGGAACCTGTGTGCAACCAGTTCAATCAGAAAAATCTACAGGTTAAAAGTATTATCATCTATCATCTTTATATTGTGACTTGAAAAGAAGTACCAAATCATATTATAAGTCAATATAAGTCATGTTATAAGTTTCGGAGTTCTTAAATAAGTTACAAGGACTATTATTTACAAAGTAATTCCTGGTAAAATTCTGCATCTCCCTATATCCAAACTGACAACTGCTCTTCTGTTCCTTAATGAAACTATTCTGTTTTTGTAGGGGCAAGACAAGAAAAGGAAAAACAGTTGTCTTTGTTTTGACAGACCTTAGTGTGATAAATTAAAATTCTACAATGTGACAATGATTACAGAAAGGGATTTTTTTTTTTTTTAGAAAGTGGTATTTCTATAATCTTACCTAACCAAGCATACACGGACACTGATATTTCCTACTGTCATTTTTTTTAGGAATTAAAAAAAATCACTTATTTTTAGCTGCACTGGGTCTTTGTTGCTGCGCGGGCTTTGTCTACCCGCCACGGTGCTTGTTTGCGGCGCACAGGCTTCCCCCGCTGAGGAGCACAGGCTCCAGGCACATGGGCTTCAGCTGTCACAGCACTGGGGCTCACTGCGGCGCGTGGGGCCCCGCTGATCCTTGGCATGTGGGATCTTCCCAGACCAGGGATCAAACCCGAGTCTCCTGAACTGGCAGATGATTCTTATCCTCTTATCTTATCCACCAGAGAAGTCCCTTACTGTCATATTTATCTAAACTATCTTCCAAGCAGGTTAAGTTTTTGTTAAACAATTATCTACTTGTTGAAAAACTCTAAAAAATAAATTTATTTTTAAAAACCTGTATTTTTAAAATAGTCCTTAGTTTATCAAACAAGATTTAGAAAATTTCACATACTTTCCCCAGAGATAAGCATTACATCCTTCAAAGTACTTGGGGTAACATTAAGAGAAGTAATGAGTATTTATATGAAAGTTTAACAACTGGTTAATAAAACTAACACTGACTTATTTATTTTGAAAACCATTTTAAACTTAAGGCCAAACTTTTAGTCATTTTATTTAACTCAAATACCCAAAATTTTGAGGATATTTAAAATGCTGATTATTTTAGGATTTGGCAGATTTTTTTAAGTTGAAATACTTAAAATCCAAAATAACAGGAGCAACTAGACAAAAGTGGAAGGAAAAACTGAAGGAGAAAAAAATATGGAAGGGCAGTATTTAAAATGTAATGCTTTTCAAAAAAACCAACTGAAGCTAGGTAAAAGCTTGGTATAAATCAACTGTCTTTCTATATAGCAGTATATAGAAAATGCAATTTAAAAAAATCAATTTTTTATAGCACCAGAAAACATCAAACACCTAGAAATAAATTTACAAAAAGATGTGAATGACCTCATCTCACTAAAATAAATGAAACAAAATCTAAATAAATGGAAGGCTATACCATGTTCATGGATTGGAAGATTCAATGTTGTAACAATAAAATCTTCCTAAATTGATAGATTGAATGTAATATCAATCAAAATCCTGGCAGGTTTGAATCTGTATGTGTGTGTAAGGGAAAATTAACAAGCTGATTCTAAAATTCTTTTCAGCCTTTTCAGTAAATAATGAGTTAACAGGATACCCATAAGGGATACAAAAGTGAATCTTGATCCCTAACTCACACCAGAGCCCTTGTTATAGGTTTCTAAAGACTCTCTGAAGTGAAGGTTACTGCTGCTCCTGAATTAACATATACTGATCAATATTTCAACCTCCAAATGTTAAAAACGAAAGCTAAATTATGAATTAAGTAGGTTTTCCCTAGCACTGTAATAAAAATTAGAAAATTGTTAGAAATACTAGTGTAATAAAAATTAGAAAATTATTAGAAATACTAGAAAATATTATCATCTTTTAAGTTTTAATTTTTATCTCCTTCTTTTACGTGAACATTTCACTGTTTGGTGTCACTTATCAAGTAGTTTCTCTTCACTGGTTCTTAACTTTAGACTTCATGATTATTTATGAGGAATGTTGCAAATCATTTCCTAAAATTCCATTTAGGAAAGAAAATTTAATTTTTAAAATTTGTAAAATTTAAATTTGAATGTATCCTCACTCTCACTTGAATTCCAAAATGTTTACTGGGAAGGCAAGAAGTAATTAAGGTTACAGCCATCAATCTGAGAAGGGCACTTAATGCTGGTTATTCTCTTGGAAATCTATCAGCAACTGAATGCAATTCATCATTAAGTTTCTATGGAAGTGTAAAAAAAGGCTGAAAGCAGCTGATGTAGAGCACCACTGAGAATCATTTAAAAAAAAAAAAGGCATAAGAAAAATCATTCTGTGACACCAGGGAAGCCCAAGTGATCAAAAGAAAATCACAAAATCTATTCACTACATTTTATACACTTTACTCATGAGATCCTCGGACCACTCAGAACTTAAGTTCAGAATGTGAGGTCAAAGAGAAGCACTGCTGGAGGCAAAGCCATCAGTGCTCCTAACATTACAGTTACCGTAAGGGAGAGGAGAGAAACATTCCACATATAAAATTATCTGTGGATGGGTAACACACGCCATCTAGGTAGGGCAGTCCACCTACAACTCTTGGAAGCGTCATGGGACAGAGGTAGAACCATGTTAAAAGACGCCCCTGCATTACAGAGCGTCCACCATACACAGAACACAGTGAGGGGGGACTCTTCCTCCTACATGTCCTCCAGCCACCCTCCTCTCATCAGAGCAGTGCAGGTTATGCTTTTGCAAGATTTTGTGTAAAATCCTTACAATTTCTTTAATTTAGGTACTTAAAAAAAGGCACACTTTAATCAGGTGGGAAATTAATTTATATGAAAAAAATTCCTAAACAATGGAAGATTAAGAAATATTACATACTAACTGCCCCTGACTCAACAAAGCTGTTAAATAAGAATTTAAACTAAAAATTAGCAGTTGAATGTCTCAAATCTTATTATAAAATCTACAAATTATATATATACATATATATATATATTTTCTTATGGGGCTTCCCTTGTAGTTCAGTCAGTAAAGAATCTGCCTATAATGCAGGAGAACTGGGTTCGATCCCTGATCAGGAAGATCCACTGGAGAAGGAAATGGCAGCCCATTCCAGTATTCTTGCCTGGAGAACGCCATGGACAGAGGAGCCTGGCAGGCTATAGTCCATGTGGTTGCAAAAATTGGACATGACTTAGCGACTAAACCAATACCTCATATATTCTTATATGGGGCTTCCCTGGGGGCTCAGATGGTAAAGAATCCTCCTGCAGTGTGGGAGACCTGGGTTCAATCCCTAGGTTGGGAAGATCCTCTGGAGAAGGGAATGGCTACCCACTCCAGTATTCTTGCCTGTAGAATTCTATGGACAGAGAGGCCTAGCAGGCTACAATCCATGGGGTTGCAAAGAGGTGGATACAACTGAGCAACTTTCACTTTCACAAATTATACAGATACAATTATGTAAAAAACAAGCTTAGAACTCACCTGAACTTGCTTAAAAACATGCAAAAATGCTGGTACCTTCTTATGTTATTTATCAAAGAATAAAAAAAACAAGAAAGAAAGAAAATCATCCCCCAGAAAAAACATTTAAGGCTTTCCAAGAAGACCCAAAAAACATTAATAGGAACTCTTAAAAAAAAAAAAAAAAAAGTAATAGACTTACATCCCGCAAAAACAACTGTTCCAAATATGTTATCTTCTACTGAGAAAACCACATTTGTTCCACTACTTGCAGAAGCAGAAATATTGCGAATCTTGATTGCAACATTTTCCCCATCAAGATGGATAAGGGGACAATGTGTACTGCCAATCTGTGCTGATAACACTCTTTCTTGAGTCACACAACAGACTGTTATATCTGAGCCTGCAAGTACCACTCTGTCTTGAGGAAAAACCTCAGTCTGAGAATCAGGAGGCCCTAGAAAGAGCAAAAGGAATTATAAATACTTTAGAAGTCTTTTACATAAATTAGCCCAGTGTACATAAACCACAGTTAGGTACTTTGAAATAATGTGACTTAAAAGAAAAAGTACACCCTCCAGGTTTCAAAGGAGCAAGACATACACAAGAAATAAAAATGTGTGTGGTTTTATTTACTTATGATGGGGTGATAGTGGGGGAGTGGAAGGGATTGCAGATCAATGTATAAGGTTACAGGTTAATATTAGTATCTAAGGAGTCTAAACGTTGATATTAAGCAGGTTTACATCCACCATGTGAAAAACCCATACCAAAAGGAGCTGCACGTTAAATAATTCCACTTCTTTGAAATTACTTTACGTGTTTAGATCAGATGTCTTACTTTCCATTAGCCTACATATATGGTTAAGTATTCCACATCCTAAAAAGCACTTAAAAAAAAAAAAGCCCAACTCTCTATATGTAAATGGAAGCCACCCCTTTGTTTTTATTTTCCTAAGTAGCCAATTTAAGAAAAGTATCTCTAGTCTCCTTTCTACCTATTCATTCTTTAATCTCCTGCAATCTGGCTTGTACTCTGATACTTACTAAAATGGTTCTGTGGCCCAGCTGTTCAATCAAATGGCCACTTCTTAGTAATCCTTCCTTCAACTTCCATTGCATCTGGTATGTTGCCTAAAGTCTTCCTTTTCAAAATTCCCCTCTCTCTTGGGATGTAGACTACTGACTTTCGCTACTCTTAACCCTCTGGCTGCTACTTGCTTTGCTGGCCTCTTTCTTCCATCATCCCTCCTCATACCAGCTTCTAAGGGATCTATCCTTGGTCTTCATGCCCCTTTCCTTGTGTTAGCCTCCAAGATTTAAAAAATTTCACATCACGTATATTAATGATTCTCAAATACATAGTTGACCTTGAACGATACAGGTTTGAACTGCCTGGGTTCACTTATATGTGGATTTTTTTCAATAGTAAATATGACAGGATTTGTGGTTGGTTGAACCTTTGGGTGTGAAATCACAGATATGGGGGTTCCACGGGTGCAGAGGTCAACTATAAATTATATATGGGCTATCCACTACACGGAGGGTCAGAGCCCCTAACCCCCAGTTGTTCAGGGATCAACTAGATAACTCTAGTTCCAACTAATCACCTGGATGCTGAACTTGTATTCCCAACTGACAATAAGAAATTGCTCCCAGACACTTCACAGCTACCTCAAACTCAACACTCAACACATTAAAATGAATTTTATCTATCCTGCCCAGTTTGTTCATATTGTTCTGTCTCATTGGACAGAATCACCAGATACCCAGATGTCCAAAGCAATAGCCTTTTTTGGCTCTATTTCTCCCCTACCAAATACACAGTCACTAATTCTGTCTTTTCAGTGTTTTCATACCTCTCCCCCTTTTTATTTCTAAACCCAGGTGTCCTACTTTATACTTGTCTTTTGCTGAACTAGAAGATTCTTATTAATCTGCTTGCTCATAGTCCCTCCTTCCTCTGGCCATTTCTCCATATTGTCACTGGAGTGAATAATGCACAATGATCACCAGCCTTTTTAAGGACTTCATTTTACTGTCAACAGTATTCCAGGCGCTTTCTCACACTGCCAACATTATACCTGCATATGAGTTTTGGTCAATGTACAGATGATTTGGGGTTATCTTGCAGATTCCCATGTTCTCTGCAATAACTCTGCAGCTCACAGGGGTCTGCTCTATGGGCAAGAAATTGGGAGCTAATTTTTAAAAATATGGACTTGATATCATTACATAAAAATCTTAAATGTTCTTTAATGCTGATTCAAACTGATTTTTAAACATAGACATTTATCCAATCCCTCAGAATGTTCTATTAAAGAAACAAGATTTCTGAAGCCTCAGAGTTTTTGAATCAAAATGTTCTGGGATGGAAGACTTGGAAGATCCCTAGGTGACCCTTGTGCATCCAAATGGGGTTCTGAGAACTAAAAGCTTAAACTCAGCCCTACCATTAAGCAAGACTAATCTATTTCATCTGAAACAAAATTTTTTTAATATGCACTTACAGGAGATGTTCTTCAGTAGGCTCCAGTTACTCCACTCTTTGCGACCAGAGAACTGAGGATCGTCAATGTAGCATCTAATCCCCACATAGTGAATGGCACACTCCAGGGGCATGTCTGAAGTCCAGTTCCAATGATGAACTGTATCTTTGCCATTCAGAGTTGTGCTGTAGGTCACCTACAAAGTAACCACAAACACAAAACTCTATTTTCAAGTAGTATGTTCTGCTTTCCTTTAGGGTTAAAAAACAGACTGTATACAATTTCCAGCAAAGTAAGTAAAACTGTATTACTTAAAAGTAAGTAAAACTCTAACATATTAAGGAGAGTTGGAGTAACAATAACTATGATTCACTTATGTTTACCTCTTCAACTTGAGGGCCTACTACTTTTTATACTGATGTTAATATTAAAAAAACACTCAATATACTTCATGAGAAGTACTAGGTTATCCTGGAAATGCACAGTGCAGGTAAGGTGCTAAACTGGTAGCCTGCCTAAAAGTTATTTGAAGATATATTAGGCACTCAAATCCCCTTCCACATTTTGTTCTACCAAAGGACTATTTTTCACCATGGCTGAAGAATGGAGATTAACCCTTTGTAAAAGTGAAACAGAATTCCTCTGAATTTAATAACCCTGGGAGGAACTAAGAATGGGGAATACCATACTAAAAACAGGGAGACTACGAACTATGCATTCTAAAGGCCGGGACACTCCTCCCTTCCTTCCCTACTCAGAACCCAGAATACTGACAGCGAAGTACATATTCACTAGGTTAAGAGTCTAAACAAATTTTTCTAAGGAGCATATGAACAAGTCAAGATAAAAACCTAAAATAATATTAAGATTTTTACAGTTTGATAGTCCATCCTAAGCAAGTATCATGAAGCACTAGTCAACAATTCCCACCCAGGCAAAAATAAGTTCCAGTTAGACTTGCTTTATTTTTTAAGATTCTCACTTAAATGAGAGCAGCAATCAGAATGATCAGAAAGTGAGAAAAAGTTATAATATGAAAGTCAAAGATCAAAATAAAGAAAAAAGCAGCTTGAAAAAATAGACTGCATAGAAAGAAAAATAAAAAATTGAAATCTGATATCCTCAAAGAAGAGATACTGCATCTATGAAAGAACATGATAAAAATTTTTTTAAAAAGAACTAAGAACAAAAATGGGATCTCTTGTATATTAAAAAGTATATTAATAAAAACTTCAAAAGCACAAGATAAAGTTTAGGAAAAATTGCTCAGAAAATAAAATACTGATGCTAAGAATGCTAAGAAGTCTTAAAATACTGATGTAAGAATGCTAAGAGAATTAGAGAAAAGGTTAGAAAGGTCCAGTCTCTAAAGAACAGAATTCTAAGGAAAAAAAGAGAAAACAGAGGAAATCAAAGACAAAGTATGAAAATGTCCCAAGTTCACAGGCATGTGTTTTCAGACTGAAAGGGGCCTAATGAATGTCCACTGCAGCAGATGAAGATAAATCCATAATAAGAAACAAATAGAACAATGGCTTCAAAATCTTGAGAAAACTTCCCAACCTAGAATTCTATACCCAGCTAATCTAGCCAATCATGACTGAATGCATAAAAAGACATTGTTAGAAATGTCGAGTCTCAATGTTTTTACCAAGTAGCACTTTACATTCCTACCAAAAGGGTATAAAAATTTCAATTGTTCTGGATCTTTTCAATATTTGGAATTGACAGTCTTTTAAATTTTGTTGACAGCTAATTTAAATTTTTTTAATAAAATATATTTGCAAGCTACCTGCAGTTAGCAGGGTATCAACAATAAATAGCAAATAAATTTAAGCTTCCACCAAAATGAGAAAGTAAGATGAAGACAAGGAATTCAGGAAAAAGAGTCCATCATAAGAAGAATAAAAAAGGAATCTTCTGGATGAGGATGAACCATAGCTTTCTAACAAATGTGTTGAAACACAGAGAGGTTTGTCCTGAGTATTAATCTCTTTGAACCAAGGGTTGGCTACTACAAGTGGAGGCTTCTGGAGCTTCTGAGAAACCCCTGGCCACAAGAATACTTAGCTATTTATCACACTCTGTGCTTTACAAATATTGGCAGCATCCATGTGAACTCTTACATGACAAAGGTTGGGAAGTAAGTCAGAAGGCCCTCAGAGAGATGTACTCACAAAGGCAAAACTGATAAAATATTACTATGCTTGAACATTTTGACAGATTTATACAACCTAGAAAGAATTTAGAATTGAATTAATGAAGCAGACAAGTAAAACTAAAAGCATAAGACAATATGAAAAGATGTACCCTCTCCAAAAATGGAAAAGTAAGAACAGTATACAGTACTTGGTTCAGTTATGAATAGTGTTTATATAATCATAACACAAATAATGATTACTGGCCTACCAAAAATTATAACAGAATGATATTGGAAAAACAGGAAGTGGAAAGAGAATATGAGCACACGTATAAGTGCATATGCATGGGAGAGTGTGTCTGTGGCTGGGAAGTGAGACAGGATTAATTTCTTATCTTTCATTGTGGGAAGTTAATAAAACAGTGCTTACAACTTAAAAAAAAAAGGAAGAGTAACATAAGTGTGCTAACTGGAAAAATGGACACAAATAATAAATGAATCAGCTAAAAGAACTGAAATGCATTGTTTACAGGCGAGAAAAACAAGAGGAGGAAAGGGGCTGCATAACTCCCAGGTGTCACGCACATTCTGGTCTGTGCAGAGCACAGCTTCCACAGCTGCTTGTGAGACTGTGGGCAGAAACCTTCAAGTTGTAAGTGAAACTACAAAGGAAACTTATAAATGAAACATTTGTATTAGTAGTGTTTTATGATCTTTAGTGATCTTTAAACTATTACAAAATAATAGCATTATAATCTGTCATAAAATGACTGATTACAAGCAATTCTGCCTTAAATACTAATCCTAACAATATAATTACAAATAAAAATGTCACATTTTACTATGCAAAGGAATAACGTTTTAAAATTAATTTGTTCTATTGCTATTTTTCTCGCTTCTTGCTATTCTTCTTCAAAGATCATATTCCCCAAAGTAGGGAATTACTATTTTGACATTGCTATCTTGTTATGCATCTCATGGCAGTGAGGTACACAACCTTAGAATAATATCTCCATTCATCTCTGCCTGATTTCACTTACATATCAAACAGTATCCCTCTTATTCTAGCATCCCTAAGTTAGGGAAAAAAACACCTATTCCCCCAAAGGAAGTAATGACAATGAGGAGCTGTTAAGTAGCTTTATAAACATCATATCATTTACAGTAGCAAATATTAGCACTACTTTACAAATAAGAAAAAAGTTTTGAGAAGTCATCCTAAGCTGGTAATTAGTAACCCAGAATACAAATGTTAGGCCATAATAAAAAGCTACACAACACAATTTTAAAGAAGTCATAGTTCTAAGACAACAATGCTACACGAAATCAAAGTTGGCTGCTACTCTGACATTAAAATTGAAGAAAAGAAAGAGCATTTTAGATCAAGGTAATTAGAATGGGCTTCAAAATAAGGATTTGACCTGGGTCATGAAATGTGTATTCAGTTTACACAGGTGAAAAGGAGAGGGAGGGCATCTTAGATGAAGATAACAATACTGATAATGTAATATAAACTTTACTGGTTAACGGAGAGCACAGACTCTGCAATCAACTGTCAGCTGGGGTCTGAGTTCTGGCTCCTTCACTTAACGTCTTCCTGAGACTCTATATCTGAATCTGTAAAATGGGGATGATACTGACAGTGCCTCCCCCAGAGGCCTGTTGTAAGGATGCAAATTATTAACATATAGAGAGCTTTCACATCAATGTCAGTAACACCAGAAGCATTGGACACATGATAACCACAATTATGGCTGCTGTCGTTTCAAGGATGTAATACACAGGTTGTCTACAAGGAAAAATAAGATCGTGACTGTGAAATACAGAATAATCCTATTTATTATCTGTACTATCTTACCTATAAACTTAGGCAAAAAAATTGCAAAATCATGGCCTTCTAATTCTTAAGTCTATGCTGCTAAGTCATGTCAGTCGTGTCCTACTCTGTGCAACCCCATGGACTGTAGCCTACCAGGCTCCTCTGTCCATGGGATTCTCCAGGCAAGTTTACTGGAGTGGGGTGCCACTGCCTTCTCTTAAGTCTATAACTAGGCATATATCAAGTGCAGAGGAAAAGGATAAAGAAGGAATTCCCACATACTAGCTGTCAACCTGTTTTACTACTATGTCTCACTATTCCTCAGACAAAGAACAACTGAAGACAGACCAAAAGTAACTATTCATAACCAGTATTAAAAAAAAGCATGTACTACTAAGAATGTTATTTTGGATTGAGATAAATTCAAACTTATGGATTTATGCAGAATTTCTCAACAATTACTACGCCTAAATATGTTTCAAAACATTTATGTTTATATTTATAATGTTAGATTATTTATAATAAGTAAATGAAATTATATGTATATTTTTATTCCATTTATGCAAAAACATGCATATAAAAAGGCTAGACAGGAATACACAAATATATTGCTTACTATATTCAAGTGGCAGAATCATGGATTAAATGTCCCTTAGTTTCCTAAACTTCCTATAATTGTTACACATTATTTCATTAATTTAGTAATTTTTTTTATAGTCATAGCATACAGTCTTTAATGAACGCCAAAGGGATATCTGATCTTCTTCTTTAATAATCAAAAGGTTCACTTCAAAATTTAAAAAAATTATTCAGTTTCTTTAGTGTCATAGGAAAAAATCTATTTTTGTTTAAACTTACTAATTTTACAATTTCCATATTCTTTTTACGTAGAACTTTAATTTCCCAGATGACATTTGAGTAATGTGGAAAAACAGAACCTTTGTCATTCCATTTTAGGTGTAACGTAGAAGTTGAGAAATCAGCAGACAAATTCAAGATCTCTGGAGTTTCTGGAATTAAGGCTTAAAAAAAGGAAACAAAAGATAAAATTTATTAAAAGAAGTACTTCATATTGTAATTCCATTAATCAACTAATTTTAAACTCTATTCCTTCTTGATCCAAAAATAATTAAGGAGTAATGCAAGTTCTTATACCTAGTACTGAAAAGAGAATAAATATATGTATTTATTTGTACAAGCAGCTCCCAGTGATTCATCAGCCAAATCTGAGGAAATTATTTACCAGCCAGATGTTTCAAATCCATAACACAAACAGCAAGTGGGTTCCCACAGCACTCTGGTGTCACTGGGTCTGGGATCTCCAAACAGGCAACATCAGAGGGAAGTGAAAGAGCTTCCGCTGTATGGACTGTGTCAAGCTGGCCTTGGCAAAGCTCTCCATCTGCACTCTCTGCTCCCTCCCCACTCATCTTCAATGCCACAGTCTCCACACTAGGGAAAGTCACCCATTTCCAGATGCAGTGAACTGGTACTGGCACAATGTCGTCGCTAAGTTGTGTTGGACTGTGAGCAACCCCAGAGCCCGCCAGGCTCCTCTGTCCATGGGACTTCCCAGGCAAGGATACAGGAGTGGGTTCCCATTTCCTTCTCCAGGTGATCTTCCCAACCCAGGGATCGAACCCAAGTCTCCTGTAGTGGTAGGCAGATTCTTTACCACTGGGACACCAGAGAAGCCCACAACAGGCATAGGCAGCAGTAAATAGCAGCAAGATGGTGCTAATGAGATGAGGAAGCCAATGGGATTCCATGCAGATCTAAGAAGCACTCGGCAGGATGTGGGAAGTCTTTCAGAAAGGTTAGTTTGCAGTGGAGGGCAAAAGGCCTGTAGGGAGCTGAGAAAGAGATAAGGTGACCCAGTAGGAGACTGGGTCTTACCATAGTCTGGTATTACCAGCCAGGCTATGGTAATAAGGATATGGCTCAGGATGTCGTATATGGAAAAGAAAGGACAAATCTAATGGACATTTCAAAGAAATGAAGGATTAGTATTAATAAGACATGAAAACATCTAAAATTTCCTCAAGTCACCAGCCCAGAAAGCAAGAAGAAAGGCAAAAGGAAGCATGGACCATTGTGAAGAGCGGTGGGAGCCAGGCCGTGGCTAAGTGTCAAGGAGGAAGAGACCATCACTGAAGCGGGAAGCAGACAGTAAGAATGGGGACCCGGGAGAGCACGCACACAGGCTCAAGAGGAACTCAGTGAGTGCAGCTCGAGAAATGAACCTAACACACAGATACAAAGCCGCCAAAGCCGGAGGGCTAGCGACCCACAGTCACACTTCCAAGAAACCAGAGAACCCAGCAAGAATCCTGAGAGCAAAACATGTGGAATCAGCAGAAGGCAGAGAAAATCTGGGATCGCTAGGATCAAAAGAAATGGGCTGTCTTCCGGGCCCAAGAAAACAGAGTTCAGAAGATATAAAGTTCAGAAGGTCTGAGAAAAGACCACTGGTGGTGGTGAGGGTACCATCAATTCTAAGAAACAATGTTGGCAGGGCAATTTGCTCTGAACCTGCATTACAAAAGGTGAAGAGAAAAACCATGCTCAACAATAGGGCCTCTCACAGGGAGAAAACTGGTACACTAAAAAAGAAAGAAAAAAAAAGCAGAAAGAATAAGGAATTCTTAAAAATCTTCAAGTCTTTGTACCTACAAGGGATGAGTATCATATGGAAAAACTTAGGAAGTCAGTGGAAAACACACATGATATGAGCCTGTTCTATAAAATTCAGGCTTTCTAGTAGGTAGGGCTCTTTCTTGCCTGTGCTCTCCTCAAATGACAGCTGAGGTGAAGGTAAGTTCAAAATCACTGCAGATGGTGACTGTGGCCATGAAATTAAAAGATGCTTGCTTGTTGGAAGCAAAGCTACAAAAAACCTAGACAGCATAGATATTAAAAAACAGAGACATCACTTTGCTGACAAAGGTCTGTATAGTCAAAGCTATGGTTTTTCCAGTAGTCATGTACAGATGAGAGTCGGACCATTAGAAAGGCAAGTGCGGAAGAACTGACGCTTTCAAACCACATTCCTGGAGAAGACTCTTGAAGAGTCCCTTGTACAGCAAGGAGAGCAAACCAGTCAATCCTAAAGGAAATCAACCCTGAATATTCATTGGAAGCACCAATGCTGAAGCTGAAGTTCCAACACTTTGGCCACCTGATGTGAAGAGCTGACTCACTGGAAAAGACCCTGGTGCTGGAAAAGACTGAGGGCAGGAAGAGAAAGGGGCAACAGAGGATGACATGGTAGGATGGCATCACCAACTCAATGGACATGAATCTGAGTGAACTCTCAGATAGTAAAGCACAGGGAGGCCTGGCATGCTGCAGTCCATGGGGTCACAAAGAGTTAGACATAACTTAGCAACTGAACTACAACCGTTATACAGCTCCATAAGGACAGTGGAAGATTCTTTATAGAAGTTTAAGTGGGAAACTGCTTTTAAAAAGAAGGAGCAAATGAGGAGCAACAAGCTGATTCAGAGCCAGAAGGGGCAAGTTCAAGGTGGCAGGGCAACCACAGAGAGCAGAGGCTGCCAAGAACTTGGGTCTGTCAAATGTTTCAAGAAGTCACAACGTAGCAACATAAAATTATGCAACATGAGAATATTTTATTAAGGCAACACTCATCTATTAAAATGCTTCCCTCTCTGAAAAGTACACATAATTAACATTTTATCAAAATAGCAGTAGCCTACTCTTCAAAATCTAAGTCATATCTAATACTTCAAGCTAAAAACAGAAGCAGTCATAATTACAAGTGAAAAGATTAAACACACTTCTTTTCATTTCATAGTAAATTTCTTCATCATGCACCTGGGAAGCTCCCCTAGGTGCCCATGAACTGTCATCTGCCTTTCTCTCCAGCTAAAATGCACTTGAAGACAATGTTAACTTGTTTTCTAGAAACTAGACACTTTTCAGCTAGAAAAAAATATCATCAGTCTTATTTGTGACGCTGGCATATCCTTGCCCATAACCTCCATGTCCCTTCCGTCTTAGGACATCAGACCTGGGAGCTTTCCCAGGTCTTTCTGAAAGGATCCACAGTATTTATTTGGGCTCAGACAGATCCAAATTTTTATTTTAAGAAGCTTAAGAGGTTAAAAACCTTACAAAGACTTATTTTTGTCCTTGTCCTTGTCAGTTAGAAGTATGCTGTATGTGCTAAGTCACTTCAATTGTGTCTGACTCTTTGCGACCCTATGGACTGTAGACCGCCAGGCTCTGTCCATGGGGATTCTCCAGGCAACTGTATTGGAGTGGGTTGCCATGCCCTCCTCCAGGGGATCTTCCTGACCCAGGGATCAAACACGCATCTCTTCTGTCTCCTGCACTGGCAGGCAGGCTCTTTACCACTGGTGCTACTTGGGAAGCCCAGAAGTTTATTAGATGTATGTATATATGTTAAATTTCTTCTTTGATCTGTATGTATACTTTTGAAAGGATCTTAAGATCTGGAGAAAACTTAATTTCTCATAGTTTTATTTAGTAGCAAATTGCCAAAGTACCCAAATTTTCTGATGTACAGCTCCACACCATTTCACAGCATCTCTTGCACATGACAGATGTTCAAAGGTTTACTGATGGACCCGTCTCCCTCTATTATATTCATATAATTTGCTATTTGTTTTCTTGAGTAGTGGTAGTAATAACTTAGCATTGGGATACTGTTTATCTAATATTCTAATCATGATCAGAACCATTATTATTAAAAATGCTATCTGGCTGCTCAGTGGTAAAGAACACGCTTGCCAATGTAGATGTGGGTTTGATCCCTGGGTCGGGAAGGTCCCCTGGAGGAGGAAATGGCAACCCATTCCAGTATGAATATAGCCTGGGAAATCCCAGGGACAGAGGAGCTGGCAGACTGCAGGGTACAGAGAGTCAGACATGACTGAAGCGACTTAGCATGCACAATAAACTTCTAATTGACGAGGACAAGCACAAAAATAAGTCTTTGCGAGATTTTTAATCTCTTAATAACCCTTTGTAAGATTTGGTCTATTAATCAAATGTTACCTAGAGTCCGTCCTGATTTGCCTTTCTAACACTGTTATCTTCAAGTAGTTTTCCAGATGGAATGCTCTTACTCCCTACTAAAAAAGCAGACAACACAAATTGGCTCTTTGACGGAGTCCTGGGGAAATTTTTTAAAATCTGGAATAAAATTAAGTTAGATTCCTCATACCTCACTACAAAGTAATTCCAGATGGATGAAAGATTTAAGCATGATAACAAAACCAAAATCCCCCAAATATCATGAGATTCTATTATATAAAAATGAAAACTTGTGGTGTGAAAAACACCACAAAGTTTAAATTTGGGGAAATATTTATGGAAAAAGATTTATAACAAATAGAACATAACTGATAATCATACTATATGGAGAGCTCTTGTGAATTGAGAAGGAAATATGAAATTTCAACATGAGAGAAAATTTACAAAGGACACAAATAGTTCAGAAAAAGAATAAAAATGACAGATAATTTTTTAAAAGTAAACACAGAAATATAAAAACAATAATGCTGTAATTTGGGGGGGCTCATCAGAATGCAGTGGCCAAACTAAGAGAGAAGGACAATATGTGCAGTCCTGGCCAGGATGCAGACAAGCAGGCGTGCTCGAATATGATGTCTGTGAGAATGCAAAAAGATTCAAAATTTTGGAGGAACAACTGGTAACGGACATCAAGAGTCATAAAAAGGAAATGTTTCCAATACAGCATTCCCAATTCTACGAATTTAGCTTAGGAAAATCATCACACAAATTCAGCAACGTAGATGTGCAAAAAATGTTCATTAAAGCATTGGAAGTAATATTGAAAACCTACAAGTAAAACTCTCAATGATAATAATCACTGACAATCCCAAACTCCCTAACTATCCCTTCCTGCTACCCTTCCCACCTGGTCTGGAACTGGTATGCACACAGTACTATATTTCAAATGGATAACTAATAAGGACCTACTGTCCATATAATCAAAGCTATGGTTTTTCCAGTAGCCAGGTATGAATGTGAGAGTTGGACTATAAAGAAGACTGAGTGCCAAAGAATTGATGCTTTTGAACTGTCGTGCCAGAGAAGACTCTTCAGAGTCCCTTGCACAGCAAGATCAAACCAGTCAATCCTAAAGGAAATCAACCCTGAATATTCATTCGAAGGACTGAGGCTGAAGTTGAAACTCCAATGCTTTGGCCACCTGATGGGAAGAGCCGACTCACTGGAAAAGACCCTGATGCTAGGAAAGATTGAGGATGCAAGAGAAGGGGGTGGTAGAGGATGGGATGGCTGGACGGCACCACCAACTCAATGGACCTGAGTTTGAGCAAACTCTGGGAGATAGTGAAGGACAAGGAAGCCTGGAGTGCTGGAGTCCATGGGGTCATGAAGAGTTGGACAGGACTTAAGTGACTGAACAATAATAGTAACTGTATACAACAGGGAACTCTGCTCAGTATTATGTAACAACCTAAATGGGAAAAGAATTTGAAAAGAACAGATACATATAAATTGGGGAAAAAAAAGACATCAATCTAGTTCAGCTTTACAAGGCCTCTATTTAAAACAAGAAAATGAGGCTTCCCTAGTGGCTCAGATGGTAAAGAATCTGCCAGCAATACAGGGGATCTGGGTTCAATCTCTGGGTCAGGAAGATCCCCTGGAGAAGGGAATGTCTACCCATTGCAGTATTTTTGCCTAGAGAGTTCCATGGGCAGAGGATCTTGGTGGTCTTTAGTCCACGGGGTTGCAGAGTCAGACACAACTAACACACACACATACACATTTGATTATAATAAATAGTATAATAAGCTAAAAAATAAAATATAACTTGCTAAAAATAAAATACAATTTGCTAAAAATAAAATCAATAACAAAGTAATTACGGTACCTCCATTCAATGGAATACTATGCAACCTAAAAAAATGGAGATTTACATAATGACTTGAAAATCTATATATTCTGGTAAGCCTATTGTAAAGTAATATAAACTTTACTGTTTATATATATATACACACACACACACACATATACACACACAGAGAAAATACATGTAATTAACACTATTTAACAATATCTCCGCAGGTACTGGCATCATTGATCTATACAAAATAATCTCACATGGATCTCATGTACAACTACAGAAAGAAAATAACAAACATGGCTCTTCTCTCTTTTATTTTGAAGACAGCCTTAAATAGCACTTACCCCAGACCAGCCAGAAAATGAGACAGGTTCTAAATTCCTGGACAGCATGCTTGTTATTATCCTTTAAAAATCTGTGCTATCTCAGACACAGACCACTCCAAACATGCATTCTGTCTGTAAATCTGGACACTTATATTTTCTTTGCCTTGCTTCAGCGTAAGTCATCCTTGTAAGACTCACTGTGATATCATTATGATGCCATCCCATAATACTTGTCATAAGGCAACACACCGGTTTAGCCAACCATTAAAAGAATCAAGACAACTAAGGTTTTTAAGATCTCACTGCACAGAAAAATTTCCATTTCCATCAGCCTGGGTTTATTCATGCTTCCACCCAGCTCGCAGCATTATATCCAAGGTATTCGGTCTGTAACAGATTCCGGCGAAGCACAAGGCACTGAACTAGACCCTAGCAGCAGAAGACAGAGTCTCTGCTCTTGGGGAGCCTATTTTCTTGTAAGGGAAACACACACAGGGAACACCTACTTACATAATAAATTATTTATGCAATTGTGAGAAATGCCACAAAAGAGAAAGACAAAGAGCCAAAAGGAATGGGGTCTCCTCTGGGCAGGGATGATCAATGACTAGTTCCTTGAGACGGCTGAAGAATTCTGAAAGGCGTGCAGGTATCAACAAAGTAGACGGGGAGGAGGAAAGCTTCCAACTGTGGGAAGGACCTTAACCTCTACAGCATCTATCTGCTTGACCAGAGGAAGAATTTGCTTTCGTCGTGATCTTGCCTGTGCTCCACAGTTGGAAGTGTGATCACTGGGTACATGGAAGTATTAGTATAACAACAGATATCAAAGAACAGTACATGTCTGTCAACAATAAAGCACTGAAATACTAACAAAGGCACCATTCTGAGATAGTTTCAAAGCAATTTTCTTTTCAAATACTTACAAACATTTTTTTCATTTAGTATGAATTTACTTTTGGAACTTCCAAACCCATATAAAGGGTTTACTGTTATTTCATAATCACCAGGTAAAAGAGGTGGGATTTTAATATCTTTTTCCAATTGATAACAAGAATGGGACCTGAAATATAAGAAATCAAAATTCAATTAGCAGATAAAATTGAGTTCAATTTTCATAAAAGTTGACAAAAGATGCACTGAGAAACACTTTATGTTCTTTTGTATACAAAAATATGACAGGTCATGTTGCATTTCAAGACTGAAAAAAGAGAGTAAGTGCTAAGTCCATCAAAGTAGAGGGGGTAAAACTAACCAGACTGGATCAGAAAGTAGAGAGAGTAAGCAGAGATGATTCTCTCCAGAAACTCAGGATTTCAGCGTGCCCTTCAGAGCCCCACCCCAACTTTCTCTGTGCAGGCTTGTCCCCCACTGTGGACCACACACCTGCCCCCCACTGTGGACCACACCATCACAGGGTTCCCATCACTGGGACTTCAACCCAGCCTGTCTGCTCCCCTGTCTTGGCTCACGGTTCAGTCATACAAAACACTCTCATCAGCTCTGCTTGCAAAGAGCTTCTAGTTCCCACCCATTACCTCTCAGACAAAAGTGAGTTTTTCCTCTGTGGTTCCATGGGCTTTTGTATCTTTACAGGGCATGTTCACACACTCTGTTATTCACATACATTTCTAACTTCCCATCAAAATTTTAATTCAAGCAAAAGGACTTTGGGTGCCTTCTGCATCCCCACCCTGTTCCGCACAGGCTTCTTCACATTATACACTTAGGACTGAGGACTTGAAAGGGTCGGCTCGCCTCCTCTCAACCTCACCTGTGAGGTTTCTTTATGCACCAGCAACACAAAACCACCTGAATTCTATAAATCAGGCTTTTCACACATTGATACCATTGTATCCAATATCCTCCCCAGCTGGAATGGCTTTCTGTCCTATTTCTGCTGAGCAAATTGAGTATTCCCACTCCACAACCATGCTTCTGACAGCCTCTCCGGACCTCACACTGCTCAGTCAGTGCTCCCTCAGACCATCACAGACACCTTCCATCAGCACTTAATCCACAGCATCGTTATGATCTGCTTCTTGTGAACTCCTGGGGCCAGGATAACTTCCTTTCTGGGGGGCCTGCGGTGGTTATTAGTGCGATTTACCAGATTTTTCGGATTCTCCCCTTCTGGGTTCAAAGGAGGATGGCCCTTCCCTACTCCTCTGAAGCAAGGCATGGCCATGTGACACTGTTCATGGAGAAACTAAGTGAAAGTCACATCTCTCACATCAGGAAGGAAGCTCTGAAAGGCTGTGCTCCCCTTCTGCCTCGTCCCAGAGAATTAAAAGATGAGGGTTCCCTGGCCTGGGTCCTTGAGGGCAGGACAAGGGGCAGAGATGCCAGATGACCCCATGATAGACACAAGACACAAGCAAGAGTAATCCTTTATTTTCACTGCAGAAAACGACAATATAAAACCTGAGGGTTGTCTCTGCAACAAAACCAAGCTCAACTTAGCTGATAAACGACCATAACACTTAGACTAAGGCTCGAAAAATCTACATGCACTGGGAGAAAACCTGAGTGTACTTAAATCCACATTTATGTCACTTTACAATAGGACCACTCATCAGCACACTGGTGCTTGGAGCTCTGTACCGAACTTCTCTGGCATTGCTAAACAGCTCTGAGGCTTGCTGGGGTCAGGGAGGAGCACGCAGAGTGTTCCGGCTTGCAGACACCCTGAGGGCTTCCACTGCAGGCCCCGGGACTTGTAGCTACCACAGGGTCACCTGAGAGGGTAAGGTGGTGTGACAGAATCTGCCACTTGTCTCTTAGCACCCCCTCCCCACTCCTCTGAGTGACATTACCCCAGGTTTACTCAGGCACATTGCCATCCGCTCTGAGAACACATCACCCAGCCTCTCATGCAAACAGGTTTGACCCCTGGATGAAGGTTCTGCCAATGAGATGGAGGCAGACATCTCTTCAGGGAGTCTCTGAAGAAAATCACTTCTCCCTGAAGAATATCATCCTTCCTGTCCTTCCTGCTTCCTGGAACGCAGACATGACAGTCACCCTGGAGCATCATCGTGAACCAGGAGATCCCACACGCAGGATGGCAGAGTACTACGGCAAACAGGAAATTGGGTCTCTCGTGGCCATGTGCACCCACATCAGCCCTGAACTGCCCACTCCGGACCGTTTACGTGACAGTAAATGCCTGTCTATCAAACTGCTACTACTGACATTTTCTACTGGAATCTAAACTTGAACCTCACTGATACAGGCAGACATTGGTTTAGGACAGACCAGTAAAACTTCCCCACAGCTTATCAGAACCCACAGCCCATGAGAAGTGTGTCCCATACTCAAAATTCCTACAACAAAAGAATCAGTCATGGCCAAGAGAAGGGTTTGTTTCCACCCTGACTGAAGTTAAGAGTCACTTTTTTAGGAAATAGAAAGCTAGGATTTAAAATTTCTTTTAAAAATTTCCATAATAAAATCTTTATATTCTAAAATGAAAGACAAGGAACCTTTAGGTTATAACTAAATTAACCAAAGTATTTCCATTACCGGTTTTCAATGCAAACTTCATAAGCAGCACCACGACCTGCTCCAGAAGGTACTCTCCAAGAACAGTTCCACACTTGTAAATTGTTAGTTACACACTTCAAATCAGGAAGAGTCCCTAGAGAAGGAGAAACAACACACAACACACACATACACACACACACACAAAATGCATATTAATTTAACTGCACTGTAAAGGTCAACAAGTCAAACCATCCCCAGGTGTAAGTACAAGCTATGCAGGGCCCCAGTTCTTTATGCCGAGATGAACCTGCAGTCACAGGAGGTGACTGCTTTTCTATTTCTTTTTTTGTAGCTTTGATTTAAAGAAGCTAGCAAGTAAACTGATAAAAGTGGGCCAACCACTAGACCACTTAGGGGTTAGGCCTCTCTCAAAAATTCCACTTCCAGGCAACTAATATAAATAGAGGGAGTGACTGTACAGATTCGATGAAGGGACCAACAAAGGGCCTGGGAGAATTTTAATCTACAGTGACCCCATCTGCAAAGAAACAAAAAAAAAATTTTTTTTTTAAAGTAACTCTAAGACTCTAAGTAAAAATAAAAACTATGTATCTCTTATACCACAAACATAGCTTCTAAGCACTCCTAACTACTACTGCTTCAGAGCTTGTTACCAGACTGCCACCTATACGGAAATCCCACAGCCAATCTTTAGGTTTTTATGAAGCACATCATATACATGGTAATAAACTCACATGAGTCTCTGGAAAATAGATATTTCGTGTAGGCCTAAACAACTAAAAGGTGACAAGTAATTCAGAAGATTATAGTCCTAATAGTACTGACTGACGCAACACTGGCTCATGGAGTGCATAAACACTATACAATGAAAAACTGTCACTCTAAAAAGACAAAGGGAAAAGAAAGAGAGCAGAGGACAGAAGGGGGGAAAGTGGGTGGAAAAATGGAAGGAGGGAGAAAAGAGAAGGAGGGAAAGCAAGCAGAGTGTGAAAAAAGGTATTCTATCTCAGACTCTCCATATAAATATCTATTAAAAAGGCATCTTCCTTAATTTTTACGTATTATTGGTATGATATTCACTATAGCAATAAATTATAAAGCTATAAGATAGAAAACAAAAACATCAGAAACACATTATAAATCATTAGTAATATAATAATGTTATTTAATAGTAATTTGGGGGAAAGAAAAGGTATGTTTAATTATGAAAATAATATAAAAACTAAGCTCAGAGACAAAGGATGAAAATGTTCTTTGTACGGTAAGCTAGGTAACACCTACAAACATTCTTAATGCTTTTAAATAATATGAAAATGAATAATATAAAATTTAAAGTAGATATGAAAGGCAAAATTACAGACAGAAAATAGACCAGTGTTGGCTGGAGGTGGGGAAGGGAGGGGCTCACAGAAGAGGAGCAGGGTCATTTTCTGGAATGATGGATCTGCCCTGAATCTTGACTGCACAGGTGGTTACGTGACTGTATGCATTTGTCAAAACTAATAGAAATTTATCCTAAAAGGGTGAATTTTATTTTATTCTAACAGGAAGTCACACCTTACTTTTTTAAAGGGGAAAGAATACTTAAATCTATCTCTTTATGGGCCTTTTTAAAAGAAACCAAAAGTACATCTTAAAACATGACAAAGAAATGAAGTTTAACCACAACCTGAAGGGTTCAATATAGACTCAAGATCACTTCCTAATGAAAACAGTAACGACACTGCAATCAGTTATCTTCTCTGACTCTCACGCACTTACTTTTTTCCTGGCTGTTTACTTGATTTGTTAAATACAGAAGCAGAACTGTTAATAAGAGCCACTGGAAATCTGAAGTCATCCTCATTCTTTTGCTGTCCACCAGCCAGGATGGTCGTTTCAAACATAAAGAAATGTCCAGCATCTGTGTACTGCAATCAGTTAAGGAGAAGAATTTCAAATGGTGTTCAAGCTGGTTCAAGACACTCCTTATCCTGTGCACATCAACACTGAAAATGGATACTGACAAATACCAAAACCTGCTAAGCATTAAAGCCATGGAGAGACAACTAGACTCAGCTGCCCTGGCCTTGGGGGACGTGCCAGTCGGACACAGCTGCTGCTCCGGGAGCTGTTATAGGGTCAATTTTCAAATGATAGGCTTCAAGTTCAAGATTACAACAGAGCACATATTTATCAACCCTCAGTACTGCTAGAATAGAGAAAATCAGTGCCTAAAACTGAGGTCTTCACAATTTTAAGTGATACATGAAATGGCATTTTTCATTAGTATGTATTAACTTTTACAGTCACTTATTTACGACAAGCAATACTAGTTTTCTTTTCCATGTACACTGCGATGTTAAGTTTCTATTTCATGTACTTTTAAACAGTTTAAAGAAAATAGTAGGGTCATTAGTTACATACGGGGGATTGCAGATGTGACAAAAATACCAGCAGTGACACACAAATGACTGAAATGTAACAAACACTCCAGCAGCTCCAGCGGGAAGCGACCATTGGTAAACGAGATTTTAACCCGTATCTGTTGAAAACCGAAAGCGCAAGGATGAACAGTGACGGGCCCTGGTGGGCAGTAGGGAGGGGCTGCATCAGAGGGAGGCGCTGTTCAACCCGAGAGCCCCCAGAGGTACCTGTCAGCCTACCCAGCACCAGGTCCCCCTCTAGACACCAGAAACTGAGCCAGACAAAGTCTCTGCCATCAAGGGCCTTAGATGTGAGTTCTGGAGATACCTAAGTAAACAAGGAAGAAATTTAAGGTCCTGATACAAACTTTAAAAACCAGAGTAAGTCGATGTGCATGAAAGTGTGTGAGTGGTGGCCTATTATCTGGGCTGGGATGTGACTGACCAGAAGCCTGCCATGATAAGATCAGGGAAAGAGTGGCAAGAGCAAATACAAGGACCCTAAGACAAGGACAGCTCACCAGGTTCAAAAGTCAGGAAGAGGGGCTGAGAGGACGTGGGCTGGTCAGGCCACAGAGAGCCTGAGGTCATCTAAAGGACACAAGCTTTTATGGGATTGAGATATAAGCCACTGGAGTGTTTTCATCAGGGGAGACCCACAATTTGATCTGTACTTTGGGAAGGTTTCTCTCGCTTCTACATGGAGAACAGACTCTAGGGGAGAACGGAGGCTGGGGAACCAATGTCCAAATAAGATAACCAGTGGTGAGGACTAGGGTTCTAAAAATGGAGGTGGTGAGAGGCCATCAGATTCAGGATCTGTTATAGAGATGGGGGACCTTACAAGCCATTATAGGCAGGGCAGGGTGGTGGTTAAAAACAGGTTCTGAATCGCAGCTTCTGTACCTACTGTGTAACTTGAACCACTCTATGCTTCAGTTTCCCCATTGGTAAAGTAGGGATGATAACTGTATCTTTCTTCTAAGTCTGTTGTGAAGATTAAATTGTAAATATATGCAAATCACTTGGAATAGTGCCAATGACATATAAGTGCTATAAGTGTATTTTGTATATTATGAAAGGTGAAGAGAGAAGTCAAAAGTGACTACTAGATTTGGTGGAAAAAATAATACTGGATGGATACTGCACGCTCAGTCACTCAGTCATGTGTGATTCTTTGTGAGCCCATGGACTGCAGCCTGCCAGGCTCCTCCATCCATGGGACTTTCCAGGCAAGAATACTGGAGTGCACTGCAATGTTCTACTCCAGGGGATCTTTCCAGCCCAGGGACCGAACCCATGCCTCCTGCACTGGCAGGCAGATTCTCTACCACTGAGCCACCTGGGAAGTCCCTGGGTGGAGGTGCTGTGCTTGGTCGCTCAGGCATGTCTGACCCCATGACTGCAGCCTGCCAGGCTCCTCTGTCCATGGGGATTTTCCAAGCAAGAATACTGAAGTGGGTTACCATGTCCTACCGCAGGGGACCTCCCCGACTCAGGGGTTGAACTCAGGTCTCCCACATTGAAGGCAGATTCTTTACCAACTGAGCTACCTAGGAAGCTCAAGAATACTGGAGTGGGTAGCCTATCCCTTCTCCAGGGAATCTTTCCAACCCAGGAATCAAACCAGGATCTCCTGTATTACAGGTGGATTCTTTATCAGCTGAGATACCAGGGAAGCCCTATTGGATGGACAGTGGTACCATTTAAGTTCTCTCTGCATGCATGAAGATGGAGGCAGTGATTCATGGAGCCAAAGCTCAAGGATTTCAAGATCTGTTACAGAAGTCAACTTTGACATGCTCCTATGCCCCACTCCCAATAGAAGTGTCCTCCCTGCAGAACACGAAAGAAATGTTGAGGACACATAGCACTAGCAAAGACATGGCTGTCAGAGGAAAGCCTTTCACAACTGACCCTGATGCATTCCTCTGAGTAAAGATGTTCCTGTCCACTGTTACTGAATGAAACTTGCCAGCCAACAAGTCCTCAAAGTGTGCTGAAAACTCCTTGTCAGACCTAATATTACCTCATTTGTATATTGGAATAGACAACTAAGGATCATAAAACATATAAGCAAAGCCTAAATCATTAAAGAGAAATTCAGGATAAAAAGTATCACCAAAAGGAAAATAAAAATTACTCCCAGAGGAAACAGGGATCAGGAAAACTGGAAACACACACACATACACACACAAAACAAACAGAAAACCACCTCTAAATAATATTCTCTGAGGAGGCATGGCACAGTCATAAAAATAAGAAGAGGATGCAATAAAAAAGGAATAATAAGAAACAGGAATAGCTCTTACACATTACATACATTGGCTGATATTAAAAGACTTCTAATGAAAGATAAAACATTGAGTAATCTTTCAAAATAAACAAAAGACAGAAAAATGTGAGAAGAGAGATGAGCAACAGGAAACTGGGGGAAAAAACACAGTGATTGAACATCTGAAAAACTGGAGCCTACTAACAAGAAAATTCAAGAAACACGTGTCTTAGTGAAAGCAAACGACAGGATGGCTGCCTGTCAACTGCTGAGCACTGTCACACAGTCCTAACCAAACAAATACGAGGGACAAGCATACAATTCAAGTGTTCACCGTTGGTTCTGGATTAGTGACTTCCTAGTCAATCACAGGGTTGCTGAGTTCACTTGTTAGAATGAAATGCGCTCATGGAGTGTCTAGAGCCCCAACTGCTGAAGTCAGGTGGCGGTACAGCAGTAGCTGAGTAGAGAGACCAAACGTGACCGTGCCATGGCCAAACAATCACAACCACACTCACAGACTGGCTATGCGTTATCTTAAAGGAAACAATCCTGCACTATAAGATTGCATTTGTTATAGAAAAGAGGGGAGTGTCCCATGAAGTGGCAGGTGGGGGGTGGAGGCGGCTGAGGAGAGCTCTGGATGGGGATGTTGTGGACTTAAGACTTTCATCCTGGCTCCATTACTGATGATGGTCTGACTGAGTGCAAATCACTCAATCACTCCTGGCTTCAGCCTTAACCAGGGCGGCATGGAGGCAGGCTCTGCCCAGGGTGTCTATTGGGATTCCCCTCCTGGCTTCAGCCTTAACCAGGGCAGCGTGGAAGCAGGCTCTGCCCAGGGTGTCTATGAGAGATGCCCCTCCCGGCTTCAGCCTTAACTAGGGTGGTGTGGAGGCAGGCTCTGCCCAGGGTGTCTATGAGAGATTCCCCTCCTGGCTTCAGCCTTAACCAGGGCAGCGTGGAAGCAGGCTCTGCCCAGGGTGTCTATGAGAGATGCCCCTCCCGGCTTCAGCCTTAACCAGGGCGGCGTGGAGGCAGGCTCTGCCCGGGGTGTCTATGAGAGATTGCCCTCCCGGCTTCAGCCTTAACCAGGGTGGCGTGGAGGCAGGCTCTGCCCAGGGTGTCTATGAGAGATGCCCCTCCCGGCTTCAGCCTTAACCAGGGCGGCATGGAGGCAGGCTCTGCCCGGGATGTCTATGAGAGATTGCCCTCCCGGCTTCAGCCTTAACCAGGGCGGCGTGGAGGCAGGCTCTGCCCAGGGTGTCTATGAGAGACTGCCCTCCCGGCTTCAGCCTTAACCAGGGCGGCGTGGAGGCAGGCTCTGCCCAGGGTGTCTATGAGAGATGCCCCTCCCGGCTTCAGCCTTAACCAGGGCGGCGTGGAGGCAGGCTCTGCCCAGGGGGTCTATGAGAGATGCCCCCGAGCTGGGCAGGGATATTCCACCCCTGTGGGCAGGCACGAGCACACTGTGCCAGCAGCCCCATGAGGGACTCCACTGAGCCGGTCTGTGAGGGTCAGGGTCGGGGTGCTCAGGAACAGAAGAATCAACGTCACCGTCACCAAGGCCAGCTTGACTGAAAGTAGCCAAGATGATAAAAAGGACTTTCTTGTTACAACATTTACACAGAAAACCTTGAGTAAGACATTTAGGCCATACATTATCAATGTGCTCATAAAATATCTGACTTCTCTACCAAAGGGACTGACTGGAGGCTGGAGCAACACACGAACAGAACTTCCCAGTGAACAGGAAAATGAGGACACAGGACACTTTCTACTCCCTCCTGACGCATACACTGTCAGAACTTACTTTTTCCACCAATGCCTTATTCCTTAGAGGAACGCATACCTTTTATTGAATTTCAGGAGCTAATTTTCAAAACTAGGCAAGCTGTCTCTCGACACATAGAAGAACACACATGTAAACGCCAAGGGTAAGAGGGGAGAAATCACACAGGCAGGTGCCAACTAGAGCCCTGTGTCCTTGCATGGGGCAGAGCCACCTGCTTGAAAAGTGGCAGCCAGATTTTCTTCTTTTTCAAGACTAGGTAGAAATCTGGGATTTTACATGAAATACTCAAATTTTTAAGCATAAGCAGCTCATTCATATTTTTCAAACATCCTAAAGGCCAAACAGTGGACTCATAGAAAAGGCCCTGATGCGGGGAAAGAATGAGGGCAGTAGGAGAAGGGGGCGACAGAAGATGAGATGGCTGGATG